TGCGGAGCTCTCGTCTCCTCTTGAAAGCGAGATTTTCGGACAGCCGAACAAATGGAATACGGAGTACCGTCAGCTGGCCATTTCGCGAAGTCTCCGGGTGCGCGGAGACCACCGCAGAAGACTCGACACCATGAATGGAGAGAGCGATATCTCTATGATCATCCCGACGATCATCAAAGAGCAATAGAGTACAGCTCGAGCCGATTCCCCTCTTCCAGCTGTGAATGTATCCGACCATGTTGTACGCGACCGGTTCGGAGGTAGAGAGTCTGCCAACCCGATCAAACGAATGTCTGTCTACACAAGACCGAAAGCCCTCGAACGGCCGCTCGACGATTGGAATCGGAGCAACACGAGCGTGAACCAATCGGACATCCACTCAATAAGCATCCCCAGCCGTTTCAAGTCCTCTTCTCGAGGCATGAGGTGAGGGAGTAACGTAAAAAAAACGAGGACCAGAACGGAATATGCGAGTGGTAGACGTGAGCAAAGGTTCGCCCCGAGTCTCCTCCAAATCGAGCCTATCGAGGAAGCTCGTCTATTCGCTGCCCGTCCCGCACGGGGAACCTCGGCCAAAGTAGAGTCAGACTTGGCGGTCCACGGAATCGTCTGTGCTAATATTGGCTTGAAGAGCCGCAATTCCCAGAACGCCGGCCGACTCGTCATCTTCTTTCAAAATATTTCTCGACCTCTCAGTCAGGAAAAAGGACCGCACGCCATCAGATGCGGCCGGTTCCGCTTCGGACTATCGCTAAACTTAATCGTGCTGGCGGTCGGTGGTTGCAGGTCTCGCCACGAATCGCGGTCGACCTCTCCCGAAGCCTAGCAACGCCGCTGAAGGGCTCGTTCCCGTAATTCTCCTTCCGTATATTCCGCGAAGGGCGCATGTGTCGCAATGGCCCGTGGCGAGGCTTTATGAAACCCGATTCATTCTGCCGAGAATCGAAAACGGAGCATAGGAAGAAAGAATCGTCGGCGTCGCCGTACCGCAAATCCCCGTCGCTGCTGGCTTGAATGGAGACGTCGGCGGGGATGAAAATATTTTTTTTTAATTTTATTTTTTTCGCATCATTGAGGCCCGAATAAGCAGTATTTCCGAGAACATTGCGCAGCGTGTCCTCGAGGAAGCCATGCATACGTTGAGTCTGACGATCCCTGTGAGCGAAGCCTCGGACCACAGCACCTACTTATGATGATCACAGCGGATAATTCCAGCCATTGAGCGGTTTTTCGCAAAACGGACGAAGCACGACAAACCGGATGGATCGCGCGCCTCATCCAATCAATGAACCACATACCGAGTATATCAGCGCTGGTTGAGGCCGCGTGAAAATTCATCCAGGGAGACAAGTGCCCAGAAAAGTCATACAGTAATTTGTTCTGTCTTGTAATTTGCTCTCTCTTCTGACTGACTGACTCGGCGGGCTCGGTGTTCCGAGACGACAAGAGGACCCTCGGAAACTAGGCGACAAACACGAGCAATGGTTTGTTGGGAGCTGATCGAAAGCTTATCGGGGGAAATGCTCCTCATATTCATGGGCTGTGAATGTTCATGTGGGGGCGTCCGGGAAGGGGGATAAATAATAAGCTCCGGAATCCTCTCTCGCACCCGGGAGCTTGAGGCTTCCGCGTTCTTCCGCGAAGTTGAGGGAGAATCCCCGGAGGTCCGGAGAGTTAGATTTTACTGTCGGCGCGGCGTCTGGCTCAGAATTCATTTCTCGTTCCATGGTCCACCGGGGAAAATTTCCTCCATCGACCGAAAACGCTCCGGAGCTCGCTGGAATCGAAAGTCGATGCATCGGGAATCGAACCCCACCCCCCTTCCATGGGTTTCGACTGGGTAGCCAGCGGTCTTCATGTACGAGAATTTCTCACATTCCGAGGAGCGTCGTGAAATCTCCCTCCGAAGTGGCTCTTCTTGTTGAGTGGAGCTGCCTTCACGTCATGTCAGTTTTTCTCCGCCACCTGCACTCGAGCCCCGGCTCGCGGAAGAGGAGGCAGCGGGCAGTCGGTCGGTCGGTCAGTCAGTCCGATCCCAGCAATCCCTTCAGAAGTTTCGGCCCAAACGACTGAGTATCCCAGGAACGCCTGGTGAAAATTTCAACTTCTTAACTGACGTCACAGGAGAGCAGCTTTCGAGGAGAAGGAACAGGAGGCGGGCATGCCAGCTCATGGGTACGGTCCGAGGGAGCCTGTTGTAGCGTGGGTGTAATATATTGAAGACGTCTCCGCCAGGCTTTGCGACGAGTGGCCGCGTATCGCGTCGACGATTCCTTTTGGACTGACATGCAGACTATGAAGTGAAAACAGAGTATGACTGCGGATGTCCGTAGATCCGGGCTGGCGAGAAGACTCCTTTGCCAAGAGCAGCAGGAACGACCTCGACGCTCAGGAGAAGTAACGGGAGAGCCGAAAGGAAGGAGTAACCATTTTAGCATCCTGTTCGTGTCGTGTTCGACGCTCTCAGCCCTGCAGCTCACGGTATCTCTCCCTCCCTCTCCGATGTCGCCATCTCTTGCTGCGACGAGTGCTCGGTCCCCGGCCCGGAAAAGGAGGAACTTGAGCGATCTAGTGCGTCATTGGTTCCGACGGCGAATTCGGGGAGGAAAAAACGAATAAGACGATGGAATGAATTGGAACGCAAGGAGGAGAATATCGATTAAGGAGAACGACGCGACGGAGCGAATGGCTCACCGCCCGACCAGCTGCCTGATAGTCGACGAGGAATTTGATTGACTTTTCCTGCAGCTCTCGGGCGCTCCGTCCGCCTCCCTTCAAAATCCTCTGCCCCCCCTAACCGGCGCGTGTTTGCTTGCATTCCCTTCTGAAGGCTGCTTGTCGTCGTAGGGACGTTTTGGCTCGCCGGAGGGCGATCCGGCCGGGCGTTTCTGTATAAACTTCAAAGGGGAGCCTCGACCCCTCGGGTGCCGTACCGCGACGCCACAATCCACAAAGCTTACGACCTTCTCCTCAGGTCCATGCTCAGAATGTCCGAACGGGACACTCCTGGAGAGCTGTGTGGGCTAACACTAGGAAATTACGAGTTCAATCAATCGATGTTTTCCTCTGTTTCTCGAGTCTGAGAATAGGCGGTGCCGGCCTGACTTCTGTTGGCGAACAAAGACGTGCGCATACGCTGAAAAATATCCGAGTCAACTTCCTGGATTCGCACATGGCGGACCGCTTCTTGGATAGAGATTCCCCCTGTGCCTCGTTGAGAACCCACTCCCGAACCGAACGAGAGGGAATTCTTGTTGCTTCCAGAACTTTCTCTGAATAGACGCTTCGCAATCTCGAGCCGAACGTCTTTCCTTGGGAGCACGCTAGCCCCCGAAAAGAAGACGCGAAAGAATCCACTGTTCGAATCGAAGTCAAACGAGTTCGCTCCGTTCGCCCCTGATGAACTAGATGACATTCGCGTCGATTCCAGAACAAAGACGCCGCGGCGAGCCGAGTTCCGACTGGCGGGTCTTTTTGAATGCAATCGTGTCGCCGGGTATGATCAGGACAAGGTTTGACCGCAGCTCTCGGTCGCTCCCATATTTCCTCTTTCGAACATCCGCCGCACCCGAGGAGAAAGCTCCTGCTTTGAAGGTCATGCGAAGACCGATCTGCATACGAGCCAGTCCATGTGTCACTGTCGACTAGTAATAGTAATGCGAAAACTCAGAAAAATCAGGCACCCCGATGATTTCAACGCCCCGCTGAGATCGTGGAAACGAGTCGGTGACTTGATCGTATCGTGGATGTGAAAACGAAGAACGCAGAGATAAGTTCCTCCGATATATGAGTGCACGGACGTGATTCAGCAGAGTTTGTAAGGCGCCCGGAACTTGCGTGGAAACGTGACTGTGGGAAGGCGCTCAGAAAACCCAACACGGAAGAGAATGAGCTCGCGTGGCTGTTCTGCGAATTATCCTGGGCGTTTCGAGGATGGACTCAGCTGCCCGCGATCCGGAATATGAAAAACAGGCATCAATCCCATAGGCGGCTCGCCAGGGCCTTGTTTCTCGCGCAGGATCGAGTATCTTGAAGGAGGGATTTTCCGAGATCGCTCCGGAGCTGAAAGGCAGGCGTCCGATATAGTCCTCGAGCCCTCCTCGGCGGCTGACCATCCGGATCGCTCGGCGTGAGCTGATTCGGAGTGGTAGGCGATCGCCGTGCGAATATAAAGATACACCTCTTCCGCAAAGTAATTCAATCTATATTCATTACGAAGAGCAATCGAAGGCCCTTGCTCGGCGCCACGCTTGATTGTCGTTCAAGCGAGTCGGTTTCGATTCAAGATCCGGCTCTCACTCGCCCAGGTCGTCGGAATTGCTTAGCTGGCAAGAGTGTTTTGCGAGCAGACTGATAAACAAACGCACTGACGGCGGACAAAGCAAGCCGGGAATCTCCGATAGAGAAGCCTACGAGAGGCGTGCTGCTGCGCTACTGTTGAATTATCGATGGGTCTTGAAACGGCTCCGCCGACGTGATACCGCGCCATCTTGAGCCTCCCGCAGCTGTCCTGGCTCCACGTTGGCTTTCCGTCATGGGGCGAGGGAATTTTCTCCGAGTGTATTTTCACGGAAGGGAGTTCTGCCGAAGAGTGGATGCTCGGAATCAGCGCGGAGCGAGCGCCCGCAGCACGGTGTAGTAGTCGCGATGAGGGAGAAAATAATCGAAATCTTGCTCTGCATTCGGTTGCTCTGAATCCGGTTCCTCCGTGTATTCTGAGAATCGTGATCGGGTTCCGTACACAGCGCGCTCCACCGCTCCACGAGAAGATTCGCCTAGAATACGCGAACCACGGAGCTCTCTATGTAATGCAAACATTCATGCGGACGCCAATTACGCCATGAATCGCGAATTATGATTCGATTAGACGGCCGTCATATCGCACGAGAACGACGCCGACGTTCGCTCGATTCAGTGAGGCCTGTCCGTCCTTTCGATGTGATTTTTGGGACACAGTCGACTCTACGCGCTCAACTAATCTCCTGGGTTTCGCTTTGCAGGATCCACGACTTCTACAGGAGTTGCTTGCTAAATACGGTTCTCACAACTTGGAGGATATTTCCTTAACTATCTGCTCGGGTGCGGATATGGTGAACATCAATTACACACATATCGTCTGCCCCGATCCTGAAACAGCGATCACGTGGCAGGCAGGACTCCGCCGAGTGACGAACAACATAAAGGTAAAGCCCATGGAAGATCGACCAATCGGATTATTGCTCGCTCCGGATGCAACTTGAGTGATTTTCAAAGAACAACACCCCGCTAGACGAGGATTCTAATCGCCGATTGAATGAGTTTTGGTTGCGACACGACGACAAAATGAAATCGGACGGTAATGCCTCGACCCATGGCGTAGAACATATTTCCACTGCTTGCCCGAGTTTCATCGTGTTTTTTTCCGTCCGACAGGAAATTAGCGACAGCGGAACTAATGCTGTGCGATGGCAACTCTTTCAGGCAAACAACCTTTGCCCCTCGGTGTGCCTAATGAAGCACTGGATTAAGTTAGGGCTCCAAGTGGATCCGGACGGCAAACTTCCAGTGCGAAGAATAGCCCAGACGTTTGCGTCTGGCAAAACAGAGAAGCTGGTATACCAGTGCATCGGAGAAGTCGGATTGCCAAATGGGAAGGTGAGTTGTCGAGAGGAGCCGTCGCCCCCGCGATCCATGTTGGAATCGCTCCGGCAGCAAAACTCACTTCCACGCTCAGGATCGAATTCGGGGCTACGAATGCCGACGCGCCAATTCGAGCAGAGCTCGCGAACACTTCGCTGTCCATGAGCCTACGAGGGCTCGGAGGAATTTCCTCTCGGTATCGGCCGACAGCATTCGGGATCCGCTCGAAGCAAGTAGTTGTCACTTAGGTTTAGGAGGTCAAAACGCCAACGTCAACGAGCACGGGTCCGGAGTTGACCGTCACGGCTCTGGCAGGAATGAGTCTGCGACCAATGGGAGCTTCGTCGGCCGAATCCTTACAGTGTGTTCTCTTCCTGCCGGACACGAGAAGAAACCCCACCAACGCCGTCTCTCACGGTCCCATATTGATCATGAAGTGCCGATAATGCCGGATGGAGTATCGAAGCGGAATTCGTCCGGTCTACTTCTTCTGGCTTCGTAAGAGCAGCGGCCATCGCCGACGGGACCGGAACTGTGATCAGAGGAAATTTCCCTTAGGACCGCTCGTCGGAATAGGGAAATACGTTTGAGTCCGTCCTAGGAAGGGTCGGCGACTATACTCGAGCCCTACGGCTCATCGGCCCGTGGTTGACATATTCGACGACTCGCCTCGTGATCCTGAAGTTTGTTTTGGCCTGACTCCAGCTACCGTCTTCCCTCTCATCTATGTCTGTGTCTTCATTTGACGGATCTAAGTATGGTGCTGCGGCTCGGGGGTTGCGGGCGCAGTTCTCGGTCGAGCCTGCACTCCGATAGAACAGATTGTCAGTGAGGAATCTCAAGAAAAGCCTGAGCGAGATTGAGGGATATCCTCTCCCGAAAGATCGAGGCGTCAGTGTGCTCTAACCAGAGAATCGTCGCGCGTCGAGGATATCGGCTGCCGACCGAAATAGACTTCGAACTTCTGAGCTCTGCCGGGGGACGGAAAACTTGATATTGTTTTCTGTTCGGCGAATCTGGGAGAGCCTCAAATCTCGGATACGGAGGCGTTCGCTCTATATCCGGCGGAAGTAACAGAACAAAATCAACTTTTCCTTACAGACGGACGTGATCGATCCGGCAGAATTTCCTGTGGAAAAGTTTGAAGAGCTCTACCTGCGCGTCTGTCCTCGCAACGACATCGAAGAACTTTTTGAACAGATAACTCAGGACAAGCAGGATTTCATCACGACGAAGCAGTTGGTGAACTTTCTCAACGACAAGCAACGGGATCCTCGGCTTAATGAAATTCTTTATCCGTTTTACGATGAACGCCGAGCCAACGAAATCATTTCCCGTTATGAAACCAATCCGGAGTTCGTTGCCGAGCACAAGTTAAGTCAACAGGGCCTCTGCAGGTGAGTTCATTCGGAAACATCCCGCCGAAGCAGTCGAACCATCGAGATGAGATGGCGAGCATTCTCTCAGGGTCGAGGCTGACGCCTGCCATATGCTTCCGTGTATCGCCGGAGCTTATTATCGAGGGATACTAATCATTCGGGAAACGGCAATGACGTTCACATAATACCCAGAACCCCTCCGTGAAGGGGATAAGAGTCCTCCCTGCTCGATATCTCGGCATATTCGGATTTATCGTCGATATTGAGGGCTTTTATTATAATTAAATCTACATTCTTTATTTTCTTTCAATCTTCACTATAGAAACGTATAAAGACATGAAATTTATTGTATCTATACATAGAAGAAGGAATGATACGCTTTTGGAGAGGGAGGTTCGTTCGGGTAGAGTCTGCCGAAAACTCGTATGGAACCGGATCTCGAGAATATTCCCACGATAACTCCGCATACGCCGACATCGCGATAAAAAATGCACGATCCGTAATCCACCCTAGCTCCGTCGGATATTGAACCTAACGGAACTCTGTCCCGCAAGGTATCTAATGTCGGACGAGAACGCACCCGTGTTCCTGGACCGGCTCGACATCTATATGGACATGGACCAGCCTCTTTCGCACTATTACATCAACTCGTCTCATAACACGTACCTGACTGGAAGACAGTTTGGAGGTAAATCCTCTGTTGAGATGTACAGACAAGTGAGTACCCGCAACAGCTCTTACTTAGTACAGCGCTCAGTTGGGCATGCTAAGCCCTCGCGACCTGATCTTCCGAGAGTCCGTCCGCTTGTTAGTGTGTCTTGCATTTCTGCTTCTCCCATTCTTTGGCCAGTCGACCGGTCCGCTGACTTAACATCCCTTGCTTTCGAAACTCTCATAGGAGCCTCGATTCAGTCTCCGATAAGATGATTCGATCGGTCATATTTACGCTCCCGTACGTACGTACGTTCTATCGGCAAGTGGTCTCTGGCCCTCAGCTATTTATCTTATACTTGATGCTCCCGCCGCCACTACAGCTGCTGCCGCTCCCGAGTGAAAACCTGGCGCCCTTGGCGGCTCTTCTGTTTCGCTTGGCCGTATGGCGTTAGTTGCCCATGGGGCAGGGGGCAGCAGCCGTAGTGGCATCGCTACGACCTCATAAGCAAGAAAGCCAAGCAATAATAGGCGCCCGCAGGATACGACTAAGGAGCAGAATCGGCTTCCTGGACTGCTGGGAAAACCTATGAGGGAATATCCGGAATTAGCTCACTAATGGGGTCAACACAAGCAGATCGATGGCCATCGCCACGCACATAAGAAGTTTCGCTTGAGAGAATACAAGGTCGCATCCGATCAACGTAGAGCAGGCGGCGGCGCGGACAAAAGTCCATCAGACACCGTATATTATACATATGCATTATTCGCTGAGAGGGCGCGATAAGTGGCGACGATGCCGTGTAGCGTGGAGCTTTATTCTCGTCGAGGTTTTCCGCGAGGAGAACAAACGTCGTCTTCCTAAAAGAGGAAAAAACCCTATTTTGCAGGTATTGATAGCGGGATGCCGATGCGTCGAACTCGACTGTTGGGACGGCAAAGGAGAAGACGAAGAGCCTATCATTACCCATGGGAAAGCTATGTGTACCGACATTCTTTTCAGAGGTACGTCAAGATTTTATTCTTTAGTGTTTATCCGCGTAGGAGGTTCGTAGGATCGCTAGCCTGGGAGCTGCTCGACGATATCTTGCTTGGTTGGCTCTGCGTTCCAGATGATCCGATGATTGGATTGTTTGCGACGGCCGACTCGATACGCAGCCGCCGGCGGGAATCGATCACGATACAGGTGTTCAATTTCGGCCCGATCGATCCTCGGATCTTTGGCGTCAGTTGAAGAAATCTTGGCACCATTGTGTGTTCCTCAATTTGCTCGAGAACCCTTCCTCGATGAGGAGTGGGCTCGCTTGTGCTGAATGCACAATGTCTGCCGCAAAGCCGTCAGAGATCCATTCTCATTCATCTCATCGAAGTGGTTCAAGTGTAGATTGGATTGAGCGGAATTTCGCAATCCGCACTCGAAACCAGCGACACTGAGAGAGGAGCGGGCAGGGGAGAGTGAACCCCTTAAGTGGTCCGTAGCTGAATACTTCGACCACAAGCGAGTCGACTTGATTAATTCTTTCGTCCTGAGGCGCCATGCTCTCGATGGCGCAGTGGACAAGGATGAGGGATGCGCGGAATCGATCTGTGGACGTAACACAGATAGAACTTCGTTGAACCTCCCCAAAAACAGACCGAGGTGTGAAACTCGAGTTCGCTCAGCTCTCGAAGGGATAGCGGGTGGCGGGAAAGGTTCCTCTAGAGTGCGGATGAATCACGGGATCTGTTTCGCCTCTGCGAGCCACCGATGAAAGCAATCGATCACATTTTTTTCCCGAATCGAGCGTCCCATGTTATTCGAGCCAGGTCTCGAAGCGCCCGTAAATACTCGCGGTCGCTGTCCTCGGCCTCGATGATATTGAGAGAAACGCTACTGCGCGGCTGTGCAACACGTCTCTCTGTCCGCGAGTCATGATCCGCGCTAGGTGTGACTCGAGCCTGAGGGCCGATTCATGGGATGGCGCATAATGTCGGGGCGTGTCCGCGAAGTCTTTCGGAAACAGCGGCTCATGAGAGCCGAGTATACAAACCGAAACAGTGAGATCGTTTCCAGGAAACGACTCATATGAAAGCGCACACAAGCCGCACGCGTCCAGACTTCTTATCGACCATTGGAGGATTTTTCCCTCCTAAATCTTCCTTCCCCGGACAAACTCCTCTTTCCTCATTGTTCTCCCTCAGTCAGTAATCTTCTCGCGTCGCCCTCGTTACTCACCGAGTTAAACTCTGCTCACTGCCACAGCCTCTCGGAGCGAGCACTTATCTCCGAGCGCTCGAGAGAGCTTCGTACATCTACCTAATCTGTATCTTGAAAATTATTTTTATAGTACAAGAGCTCTAGTGAATGATGAGCTCCTAAAAATCAGGCGCATCCGAGCAGAGTGCTTTTCGCCAGAGGATCATTCGTCACAATTCCGCGTTCCTCGGATCTGCGCAGTCCCTAGAAAGGACGATCAGGATCCTCGAAATAAATCTCTCTCCGCAATCGCGCGATCGGAATCGACTGTACACGATAGGCTTGTTGGCGACTCTGCATCAGAGTGGGGGTCTTCGGAAGAGAATGGAGTCCCGGCAGGGCTCGAGACGGCTGTCGAAACGGCCTCGACTCTGTCGAAAGCTAGCGAACGATTCCTACGAGGAGGCGTTCACAATTTTTTCCCCATCCTTCTCCGCAGATGTCATTTACGCAATCAGAGACTGCGCCTTCTTGACAAGCGACTACCCGGTGATTCTGTCGTTCGAGAATCATTGCTCCAAGAGGCAGCAATATAAGCTGGCCAAGTATTGTTACGATATTTTTGGGGAGCTCCTGCTGACTGAGCCCTTGGTAACCCACCCACTGGTGCCCGGAGCGCCTCTTCCGAGCCCTAACGATTTGAAAAGGTGAGTAAGTCAGAAGAGCTTTAGATACTTTTTGATTGGAAAACCTGCACGACTTGACGCAGGAGGAGAGTCCCGTCCTGTTGTTTGGAATTCCCCTTCTCCCTCGATTTGTCGAAGAAGACGCTGCGCAGAATTGATGACACGGCATCGGCTCCGTCGAGCGAAAAACGTCTCCCTCGTTTCCAGTCTCGCTCATTCGCCGGCAGCCGCTCGGGATACGCGGGCGAGGGGAATTCTCGTTGAACCAGAGGCTAGAAAATTGCTGTGTCTCGCGGAGTCGAGCTGAACGACGACTTCTGAATGCTTGCGTCATTTGTTTCATCGTTCCGAGTTTAGAAATTGAAGAGAGTCATCCGAGGAACAACGGAGCCCTTCTTCCGCCGCTGTCGTGTTTGCTTCGCTTCTCGTTGTTTCCTCGGTACGCCGTTGGCTCAACGTCGGCCATGGCGAACTGTCTTCGGTCGAATCGTTTGCTTCTATTGTTGAAGTGTTCGCCGTCAGATATTGACAACGCATTTCTCCTGTTCTGTTTTCCCTGCTCCCACTGGTGACCTCCGTTCCCTTCCTCCCTCCTCCTCAATCCTGGTTATTTCGGTGTTCTCCGTTACGCTCATCTCTCCGACTGGATTGGCTTCCTCTCGTCTTTCTCTGATCTGTGAATCCTTATCGTAGCCAAATCCCACTAGAGCCTCGGAGAACCTCCGGAAAGCCTACCGGTCAGCTGTCGGCATTCGAATTCCCGATTTCCAACGACCGAGGCGAATAGGGAAACCTAATACGTTCGGGACGCAGAAAATTGTGCGACGAATTGATTCGGATCAGCCACGTGCACAGACTGACCCGAAAGTTCCAGACGGCAGACCCTCCTCTGTTGCGTACCCAGGTCCGCGAAAAGGTCATGCATTCAACGAGTCTAGGCGGAAGATTGCCTGGCGAGGCATCTCTTATATCCCCCCATCCGAAGTGCTGAGTCTTCTTCGGGCAGAATGTTTTATTTCCGTTAAAGGGAACACTAATTAGATTCGAGGCTTTTGCGCATGAATGTTACGGGACCCTTGCGATCTTGTCGGAAACCATTCACCCGTTGTTTCGCGTTGCAGGAAAATCCTTATCAAGAATAAGCGGCTCAGGCCCGACGATGAGAGACGCGAGATGGACCTGTGGCTGAAGGGCCAGCTTCAGAATGAGGAGAGCGACGGAGAAGCCGAGGAACATGACGCCTCCATTAACGTCACAGGTAAAGAGAGCGTTAGCGCGAACCGACGTCGTAAGCTACCGTGAATTCTGAGATGCCACCAAGGAGTGCCGTGCAAACGATCCTGGGTAGTGTTCAGTTGGCACATTTACAATCTACATACATTACCGGATACTGATCCTAGACCAGTCAGATATTCAGAATATTGAACAGATAGGTTTCCAAGAGCCTGGAACTTTCGGCGGAGTGAGGGGTAGAGCGTTCTCGTTGTTCGGCATTAGATCGGGATACCCCGACACATATTGTACATCATTTGTCGTTGTATTCATGGGTAGTCGGGAACGAGTGTTCGACCGAAGAGGGATGACGAAAATCCTCTTCGAACACGAAATATTATACAACCCAACTGAACTCGTGTCACTCACTGTACAAATTAGATGGAGATTCGGGTATTGCGACCGTCACCGAGAGCAACAAAGAAGGAGAAGAAGTGACGACGCCCGCTTCTCCCACGGCAAGCGCTTCGACGACAGTGTCGAAAGCGCACGACGCCAAGTCTGATTCCGCTGCGGCCTCCAACACTAGCACCGCTCCAAGTACAGCGGCTGCCGTAACCCCTGCCGCTCCAGCCGTCGCCGCCGCAACAGTCACAGCATTAGCGACAGCAGCTGCAGCAGCAAGCTCGGGGAACGCCCCTGCCACGCAATGGTCTCCCACAAACAGCTCGAGTGGATCTACGAAAAGTGAGGATGCACCACGTTCATTTAGCTTACTAACTCTCCCACTCACTCTGACTGACTCACTCACTCACTTCCTCCTGTCTCTGTCCTGCGTGAACGTTGACTAGAAACGCACCATCAGTCATTCGCTGAGGGTGAAAAAAAAATCCGTCCCGCGCTAAGAGCAACAGCGATCTTTATTCTCTTCGGGCTTTCTCCGTGTGTGTTCTATTGGCGTAGAATTGCCAGACTCCGATTTTTCTGTCCGCATCCGTCGGTGTGAACTGCCACAACCATGCCGCGGGTGGCTGCGGACCTTCGTGAGGATTGTGGCGACCAACTACTTCTTCGGAAACTACTCCGAGTGTTACAACAGCTGCACCTACCAAGACTACCACCACTCCCACCACTGCTACTTTCTGCTCTACTACAACTACCGCCTCCGGTTGCTCCTAACATTCTTCGGTGTTTTTTGGCATAGTTTTCGAGGGAACTGAAAGGCTAGAAATTCGCTCTACGCCGTGTGCTAGATGAATGACGAGCAAAATTTAGCGTAGCTTACGTTTTTAGGCATAAAACCACTACATATGTAAGTGTTGGTTAGAACTCGCTAGGAAGTACAAGCTTCTTCCCTTGTTCCGTATGTGTGTCGTAGTCACTCGAAAATACCGTGCAAGAGTGTCTAGCTGAAAATCTCTTCCTTTCCTTCTGTTGTATTTCCTGTCACCGTCTTTGATTGTGCCGTACGCTCTCGGTGTCGTTGTTATGGGTATTCATATCGGTGTGGTGGGGCTAGACTCGCTATTGTGCCCGCTATTCAAAAGTCCGTTGAGACTCAATTATTCCTCTCCGGCCCCGGGAAGAGCAGATATGTAGATGCATTCGCTAGCTGGACGTTATAATGACCAAGCTGGAGAGGAAGAAAAATACTGTCATAGCGACCGTTCTCGCGCGGTAGGAAATCTTGAGAGAAATCGAAGCACCCCGCATTATAGAGAACTCTGACAGCGAGCCAGACAAACTCTCGATCTCGAGGGCGTGCACACGCCACGATCACAGTAGAACTCACATACCAATTGTTTCGAACACGCCACAATTCGTGACATCATCATCTGACTGCCGGAGAATACGGGGGAGGACACTGATTTTCCCGTTCAATTGTCGTTGCAGAGAAGAAGGCCGAAGCCCTTCCGGTGGAAGAGGCCATGGCCCACTATCGTTACACGGGAGCGACAACTCACGTGCACCCGTTCCTATCATCTCTGGTTAACTACGCGCAGCCAGTCAAGTTCCAAGGCTTCGATGTGGCCGAGGAGAAAAACGTGCATCACTGCATGAGCTCGTTTGCCGAGAACAATGCTCTCGGCTACTTGAAGTCGCAGGCGATTGAGTTTGTAAACTATAACAAACGCCAGTTGTCCCGCATCTATCCGAAGGGAACGCGTGCAGATTCGTCCAATTTTTTGCCACAGATATTTTGGAACGCCGGTTGTCAGATGGTTGCTCTAAATTTCCAAACACCAGGTGAGTGTCTCGCGAGCGCAGCTCTCAAAAAAACCGAAAGACCAGTCGGGCGCTCAGTTCCTTTGACCCCCTGACGGGACGCTAACCGAATTTCCGCTTCGTCCCTCCCGTCGCAGATCTTCCAATGCAGCTCAATCAAGGCAAGTTCGAATACAACGGGGGTTGTGGCTACTTGCTGAAGCCCGATTTCATGCGGCGGCCTGACAGGACCTTCGATCCGTTTGCGGAATCGCCGGTGGACGGGGTGATCGCGGCGCAGTGCAGCGTTCGCGTGATCTCCGGCCAATTCCTCTCGGACAAAAAAGTCGGTACCTACGTCGAAGTAGACATGTATGGACTTCCAACGGACACGATCCGGAAAGAGTGTCGCACGCGCATCGTGCCAAACAATGGTTTGAACCCGGTCTACAACGAGGAACCCTTCGTCTTCCGCAAAGTGGTCCTGCCCGACCTCGCCGTGATCCGGATAGCCGTGTACGACGAGAACGGAAAAATGCTCGGCCAACGGATCCTGCCTATGGATGGTCTACAGGCGGGCTATCGGCACGTGTCACTCCGAACCGAGGGAAATTTTCCTATGTCATTGGCAATGTTGTTCATCTGCATCGAATTGAAAATCTATGTACCTGATGGCCTGGGCGATCTAATGGATGCGTTAAGCGATCCCCGGGCCTTCCTCAGTGCCCAGGAGAAACGACTGGTCCAGATGAGAGCTATGGGAGTTGAAGATGCCGACCTTGTGGCTTCGTCTGGAGGTGACTCCGGTCTCACCGGTCCACCTTCAGGTGGCGGTTCAGCCGGCGCAAAAAGGTTCGTTCGCAAGCTCGCAGAGTATCCCATCGGCAAAGGCATACGGATTAGGTAGATTGGAATTCCTCACCTCCCGGTCACCGCCCAGAACATCCAATATACTCTCGAAGTGAATAATCAATCGCCCGCCGCCCCCCCTCCGCTTCCCGCCCGCGGGGGGTGCCTTCTTCTCCGGGCCTTGCTTTTCCGTCGAGTCGAGCCAACCACGTAGAGGGAATCCCTCGCATGCAGGATTTGGTTCCGTTCAGACTTTGATTTCGCCGGATGGTCGAATTAAGAACATCGATGACGTCTGAGCAGGACTTCATTCTTATCCACCAGGGACCAAGACAAACAAAACGACGCGCCGAAGCTCGAACCGATCACGTTGGACCAACTGAAAGCTTCGAAGGAATTTGTCAAACTCAAGCGTAAACAACAGAAAGAGTTGGATTCCTTGACAAAGAAACAGTCGAAAGAGAAGCACTCCATCCAGAAGCATCAGACGAGTTCCATAGAGAAAATGATTAAACAATCTGCCAACAAACTCAGTGCCAATGACGACGCCGTTCAGAGTCTCGTGGGGGACCATGCTGACCAATGGAGCGCTCTCAAGGAAAAACACGCGAAGGACTATTTCAAATTGTTGAGGTTCGTATCGACAGCCGCAGCTCAAAATCCCCTCGACATTAGCGGAAAGTCTCGTAAGGGATAGCCTCGTAAGACGACGATCGATCCCGCGTCGGGCGCAGCCGTCCTCGACGACGCGACGGTCCGTTGGAATGCTTCACTTTTTACGTCCCATCCTTCTTTGAGCTCGGGCTCTCTGCCTAACTCGCTCCCAGTGGTGCGTCAGAGCCCTTCTCCGACAGTCGAGCAGAGTTCAGAGGATCATGAGCTGTTCATTAAAATTCCAGGGACCACACGGAGCAGCAGGGAGTGGTGTTGAAAGCCCTTTTGGTTCGGGCGCAGCAGAGACAGATGAAAGCGCTCGACAGCCGTTTTGAAACTGAAAACAAAGCAATGAAGACCAAACAGGCCCGGGTCTCAGTGGAGACCGCTCGCGAGGTCTCCGGTGACAAGACCCTTCGCAACAAGGCCGAACGCGAGAGGTGAATTGCTCTGTTCCAGAGGATTATTTTACGCGATAAAAAGGGAATGAAGGGTTCAACGCGTCGGAGCCTACTGGGACGGCGCTAGGATCAAGAGCCGGAACTCCAGTTCAGAGATCGTAAAATCGCCTCGCATGCAAGCGACCCGAGTTCTGGTCCTGAGGGCTCCGGTATGGGAGCGTTTCATGAGACACAGACTAGTTAAATTTCCTGTTTACGCAGGCGTTTACGTGAGAAAAACTCGAACAACACCAAAAAATTCATAGAGGAAAGGAAAAGTGCTGCCTTCAAACAGAACCGAGAGCGTGAAAAGGTTAGGAAGGTTCACGAAAAGCAGCTCAACGATCTCCTGCGAGAGATAGACAATGTGAGTAGAGAGCCGTCATCGAGAACAACGATATGATAAGGAGTTCTCTCGAGCCAACGGTGTACAAGACGACTCGATGCGATCGCCCCACGAGCTTCTTCGCAGAGACCCGTCCATCAGCGTAGACCTCATCAGCCATCATATCGCTATTCGTTTTCGATCTCCAACCCAATTGCCGTATATTTATCTTCCCCAATTATTGCCTCCATCTACCCTCTGGCGATGTGCTCATGTTGTCGTAGATATTCCGCTTTCCTCTCTCTCTTGGCTGAACGTAATATCTTCCCGAGATATCAGACTTGGTGTAGTGTTTTGAGTTATAGTCGGAAGCAGATTGCGCTCCCCTAGGTTGGCTACGAATTGCGTTGCATGGCTTCCCTGCTCTAACTGTTTCATTATTGCCCTCTACAGAACTTGCAGGAATTGAGCAGCAACACATCGGTAGTACTTCCCGACCGAATGAGTTGTATCTCTAACGAGTTGACGTCTACGTATACGTCGGACATAGAGCTCGATCTCAACCTGGCTCTGTTCCAACCCGATCCCCTCAGTGCCGTATCCCACCAGTCCAATGACAAGGACAACCCGACATTGACATTGGGGAACAGACAAACAGAATGAAGACGGCGACAGTATTTTCTTTTGCGCCTTCGCGAGTACACCCGTACATATGGCGGTCTGATACTTGTGCAAGATCGATTCAGCTTCCTCGACCAACAGAGAGTGTAGAAGGGTCCCGATCAAGGGCGCGTCAGGACCCGCTCGAAGGTTTCACCCCAATCGTCCCTGAATAATAATAACAATAATAATGCACCTTTTTTCGGAGAATGAGGAGGGTGAATAGGACGCACACCGATCTTATAGTTGAATCTTATTCTTATTATTGTCGTTGTCAGTAGAATATCGTGTTCCAGAGCCTCTCGTTATCTGTGAGAGACTTGGACGCATCACCTTGAATAATGTCCGAGGTCGTCACTCGGAGCATTGGAGTCATCGAGCAGTACTTAATTTTTGGATAGCTCATTCTTCCCAGATGAAATCGCTTCCGATCGAGGAAGATGAAAATGTATCTACACCATACCGATCATTTCGAATACGTCGAAAACTTCACTGATTGAAACCGACACGAGAAAAAGTTGCGATATCATTCCACGGGTGCCCTACTTGCGAATCTCCGAAACGCCCGTTCGGGTCGTTCCGGGTTTTGTTCAAACGGTCCATATGTGCCGAATATTTATGGGGGGAAGCCCATGGGAACGTATCTTACGAGCGTCCACCGACTCGATTATTACTCGTGCCTGAGTGTAGGGCAAATACCGAGTATTAGAGTAATCCTTTGTTATAAAGAGACTACGTCGCTCCGTCCCGCAAAGCACACAGACGATGGATACACGGATCTTGGGCGGGGAAGTTTGAATAGTGTACTACTTACCTAGGAAGCCATCCCAAAACGAACCTCGTAAAGCCTCATACAAACACTGGGAATCGTCCCATTCGTAAACGCTTAGCAGACTACAACAGCACATAATTCGTACACGGGGGATCCCACCGCGGCTGGAACGAGCGAACTGCATGCATGAAGACGACCGGAGGGAACGCAGATTATCCAGGAGGGATGCCCTTGTTCACACGAGCCTCCGACCTGGACCCGCGGAACGGCTCCCAATTCCCAAGCTGAAAACCCTTTATTTCTCTGCATGCTGAGCGACCGACGAGAGAGCAGATCTTCCAGATTTAATCATCGAACGGTGATTATTCTTTTCCGATTGTGTGTCTTTTTGTGTGTGTTCTGCGTATTCACTGCTTATGATTAGGATAGTATCATTCACTTGTAATAAATCGTGATCTGGAGTGTTCAATCATCTTCGACCCTATGGTCGAGGTTCTTGGATCGTTCGCGGAGCATAAGCAGGAACCCTCGTTCGCGTCACGACAGAAGCATGTGTCGTATGCCAATGCTTAAGTTGTTTTTGTTTGAGACGATCCAATCAATTGTAGAGAATGAGCAGAGGAAGAGAAATGCAAATAAAGCGGCGAGTAAGTGGGAATAAGTTCGATGACTATGATCGACAGGAGAATGCTTTCGTGGTTCTTGAAAGTTTTCGACTCGAGTCTCCCGGGATTGGGTGCGTGCCGGGTCACTCTCACTGTCCGAATTCTCACCGATCGAGCGCGAAAATTCGAGAGCAATATTCCTGTGTGTACGCAGCACTCGAAGGCCCCACGCCCGGGGTATGGGAACATCTCAATCCAACATCAGCAACAACCATGTTTCTTTTTGGAATTTTCAGAGCCTGGAACGCTACAACGCCACAGAGACCGAAATTCTCCTCAATGCTAAAAAAGAATGCTACGTCTAGAAGATGAGGTAGGAAGGCGTAATTCCTCCGATCAGGCCGAAAAGAACTGACATCGAATCAATCAAACCGATCCGACCACATGAATTCCCACTCATCGATTCAAAGAATCGATTCATCGATTCAATCGGTTGATCCATCGGTTGATAGACCAGTCGATCCCGCGACTGACGCCGACGGATTCAGTGGGCGGCGGCGGATCCGTCCTCCCAGATATTGCATTGCCTACCGATCCGTCAATTAGTCTGGCAGGGTTTCGACCGTTCGATCGATCGATCGCTCGGCTCACAGATTTGTCGATTGGGCAGTCAAAGGGCTGATGGATCAATCAATCTGTCCATCCACTGAGCCATCAATCGAATAGATGAACTAATAATAATCATTGCGGGTAACGTCTCTGAGAGCGGGTGACATTCACTCATTAACGGTCCCGCAACGTCAGCGGACCACTCACTGAACAAGATCAACATTCCTGGAAGAACGAGTCTACAGAATCACCGTTAAGGCATCACACAGTCTCTGTTGATGATACGGAACTCTAGGAGCATCGATACGGGGAGCGAGAGGCGGGGCACTGGTCTTTCCGGTTTCGCACACAACTTTTCCGAGCATCCAAAGTTTGAAAATTCTCCGGCAACATGAGAGGTACATCCGCGAAGGAGGTGCATTGGTTGGGCCGGGGGAGGGAGGGGTTGATTGAGTAAATCATGCCACCCCTGGACTCAGGCTGATCTTTGCGAGCCTATGCTAATGACGTCTCCACGGAAGATTATCATGGACGCGTTAGCGTAGGACATCGACACAAAAAACTGCTCCAGAACTTTTCTGTCCTCTATCTCTATATCGACGAGACATTCGTCTCGGTAGACGAAGCGGTACTCCGCGGAATTCGTAATCATATCACAAGTCCTGGTCCGGAGCGTGAATTCTCTTTGGGATTCCACGGCCGAATTGAATGAAACTCGATTCAAGACCATCCTTCAGCTCGATGGCGGTTGAGTCCATCGCGCACTCAATTTCCATCGCCAATGTCGGTAGGTAGAACGATAGAGCATTGATGAACATCTGACGGATAGTTCGATCTCGTCACCAAATAATCCTCAACATGTCTAGTGATCGCGGGAAGAAAATTCTTGTATGTGAAACCAACCGAGTGCCCTACCACCTCTAATCGAATCACATGCCGCGGGGCTTGAGGGGGAACTCCGCGACTCTATGTTCCTATCTTCCACCTGAAATGGGTATCCGGGTTTCAAGGCGTTCGATTCAACGAACTAAAGTGAATCTCTATCCATACTCAAATTAACCATAAATACCTACTATGTAGTCGTTCCCCTAGGCGCTCGGATATGGGCGTTCGACGAAATGTACGAGCGAATGATGAATATTATGACTAGAGGATGGTCATGTCGATGAACGGAGGTGACGTAATCGAGAATGTTGCCGACAGAGGTCAGAGACTCCAGGAGAACGATGATTGGTGGTTATTGACATCGACAGATGAGCAAATTTGTAGATTATTAGATCAATAGACAGATTTTTAGATAGGTCCATGATGCGGCTGGAATCAAGCAGCGGGAATGACTGATGAAATATTGTTGGATCATAAGGTGATACGAACAATGAATGATAACATTGATATTACCGAGTACGTATAGCAGAGATACTAGTATTATTAAGACGAATGTGAAACAAAAAACGTGTTGTTGGCTGACCGAGTAAGTATGTAGATACTAAGATATGAAAGTTAGGAAGGTACAGCATACAAGTTGACGATGGGTGCGTGCGACCCATCCGGCATTAGAAGGAGAGAGAGGGAAGGGACGAAAATGGAAGAGAATCTTATCAGAACAGATTGGTGAAGTGATGACCAGACTATCATCATTATCCTCCTCCTAATCTTAGCGGAGCTAGTTCTTATCTTCTTCGATTATCGTTGTCATGTTCTCTGTGCTCATGAGGAATCGTCGAATTAGGAAGCCGGAGGATAGAATCGAGCTGACGCTGTCGCCAAGCATCGAAGAGAACGAACCAGGAGCGCCGCGCACCGCGTAAACTAAGTGTCCAGTTGATGTTCGCGAAACCGGGACAGCGATCTCGGGCTGTGAGACGTTTCGAAAGAACGAGAATGGTGTCCAAGCGATTGAAAATTCAAAGCGAAATGAATTCCAAGAGAAAGACGACCGAATGAAACGAGATAACTTAACTGGATTCAAGACAAGCATAAGTCCGGACCGTCCGGACGACTAAGACACCGATAATAATTAATTCACGGAAAAAAACAGATGTTTTTCGCGTCTTCCAATTGATTTCTTCCCTGGTACACGGGGTCACGGAGTTCCTCTCCGCTGACCCTCGACGATCCGCATCGCCCTCTTTGACCCTCAGGCCAAAAAGCTCGTCCCATTCTAACAGCCCGATGCTTCCTGAAAAACTGCGTCTTCACTCCGTTTCAAATCGTGACGTGATATTTGTGTCCGTGTTTAGAACTGCAGAAAAGTGACGTCTGGATGTTTTGTCGTCGTCGATATCATAATCGTTCGTCGTTCTCAGAGCCTAAACCGAAACGATGATGAGGCGAACAGTTTGCGGCCCGCGGATGTTTTCTCATCGTGTACGCGATCAAACGTGCCAGCCCTCTTGTGGGGTCGTTGTCGCAAGCAATTCGCCGCTGCCGGTCGGAATCGCTAGGATTGAGCAATCGAATCATGCATGTACGAACGGCAAGCAGACTGACAGAGTGAATGAACGAGTGTTTGAGCGAGCGAGCGAGAAAAAGCTTCATCATGACGGCATACACGTAGCTAGGCACTGGAGCCAAAATCACCCATTTAAAGTACTTCCCGGGACTAGCGTTGGTATCCGGAATACACCGGAAGATCTAATCTGGCACTAGAGCCTTCCATCCGCATAGAGGGCCGCCGAAATTATCCTTGGCATCGTTTCATCCGCACCCTCCGTTTATTCGACACCGTGTTCCAAACCAGAGGTCCTTAGACTTGAATGGTTTCGGTCGGATCGGCCAAAGTATCATACTACGAAAAAAGAAACCACGAGCGGATGATGTTTGAAATAATTCTCTTCCAAGCGGGCTTACCTTTCCTCCGTCGATGAGTCTCGCAGACACTGGTTTCGCACCGAAAGTTTCTCGCCGCTGATACTTTGCTGAGCTAGAGAAGTCGGAGGACGACTCTTACCCATTCACCTAAATTTGAGCGCTCGAACCTGTTGCGTAACCAAGAGGGGGCAGGCGCCACTATCGACTCCGTCGTCGAAGAGGAACGAAGATTTGAGCATAAACTTGCGGGGGAAGCTTTGCGAGTTCTGAACACCCCAGCTCATCGGGGGAATTCCACTCGGCCTAGTCATGCCACTGTCTCGAACCGATCTGCCTATGTCTACAAACTTCGCTGGATAATCTCTTACCGCGATATAGAACTGCCGCCGCAGGAATATTACCGTCCATTACTATTACTATTATGATGATTTTTCAACGCCGGCGTACTTTTCCAACATTAGCGCGCTTGGTGCTTGGATGATGCGCATCGATTAAAGAATAAAAGGCGTTTGCCTCACCTGGAATTCGGCCGAAATGAGCCTTCGATTCTACGACTGCTCGCGTGGAATGACGCATTTGACGTACTTCGAACCACTTCGATGCAGTAGTTGTTGTGCATCTCACCACCGATCTGAGCTGACGAAGAAGGAGGGGAAGCAAATGAGCTTAAGTTATGAAAAATCTCCTACCGACTACGATGAGAACAATGTCCGTTATCGTATTCCTCATTCAATTCACTGATGTCTGTGGAAACGAACAGCTCGGGCGAGCCGCTGCTGTCGAATTCGGTGGTCGCGACGGAGTCCATCCAATATGTATGCGTTGAAATGAGCCTTGACAGCGTTCTCCGCATTCGTTTTCCGCGGCTCGTCTGCCAGAAACACTCCACAAGGCCATTGAGTCGGTGTTTCACCTATGAAGACTCCGAACCTGGGAGTATAATTATTCGGCGGGATTTCCGAACTATTCGATGTCGGTATTACGTTTCATGCATTTAGTTATTATTCATGAAAACAGTCGATGATGATAATGGAGAGAGGATACGAGAAAGTTGCGATTGATCGTCCGATGGAGAGATTGTTCTGTTTATCTGTGAATAGAGTGGACATACTTGGAAGACGCTGAATATGCTTAAGACAAGTCGACGCTGTCTGTTGGTGCCGAATAAAATTTTAAGTATCGTTGAAATGTAAAAATGATAATGAGAAAGACTGAGAGAGCGAGCATTGAGAAACAAAAGGTGACAATGAACATGATGATCATGGAGACATGTTCGGCTGAACTTGTAAAAGTCGTGGAAAATTATTATGATGATGAAGATGATAAAGAATATACTTAAGGCTCCACTGCATATCCGTGGGCCTCCAACTAGTGATTCATACCTATTGAGTAGGTAATCCGCAAGATCTTCTTGCACTTCAAGTATTTATCTTGAATAAAGTATTCATAGAGCATACGTGGCCTTGAATCTTCCTTCAATCTCTCCGCTACTCGCTGCCAAGAATAATGGCAGTAGAAAACTAACTCCTACTTCAGGCGACCCCTGCAGCTACTATGCTTCATGAGAGACCTCGTAATTCGAGGGATTCAGGGAGCGGAGGAATCCTCATCAAGCTCGAGGATCGAGTCGGTGAGGTAACTCGATCCTCTTCCCGAGGTTTCGAAATTTTTACGTAAACAAATGTTTCGCTCCAACCCACTGTAATCCAGAGAATTTTCCGAGCTATCGAGCCTAGCCGTGCTCACTCCCGCATTTTTGGACGCAGCGCGACCCAATCAAGCTAGGTTTTCATGCTCGCGCGCGAGAAGCGCCGTCACGAGGCTACGAATAATCTGGTCGTTGGCGATGGAGTAATCTCTTAAGAGCACTCGTTCCCGCTCTGATTCAGATTCGGAGGTTTTCCCTCGACTAATGAAGTCTTGAACTTTGTTTGACAATGGCTCGTTCTTGTGCGAGCGAACTTGAACTCACTTCTGGAGCGCCTCCGTTCGATTCAAAGCGCGCGAGTCTCTCGCGACGAGAGTCACGGACGACGACGGTACGTCAGTTTGTTTGCAGACTGGACGACGACGACGGTGAATGACCGTCGCCGTTGAGGCGATTTGGCGTGCTGCCTCTTGTACATCTCCACGCTCTCTCTCTATTTATCATCGCTGTCGTGCTTCTCTCCTTTTCGACGCTGTTGACGAGTGTCTTGCGAGCGTCTTTGCTCAAAACGGCGCCCGCCGCCTCCACCATCCAAAAACTCAAAAGTCGCGCATCACGCGAGAGCGACAGGGAAGATTCGTGAGTTATTTCCTGCGTACTCGAGAAGTGACTGAATCTGCAGAATCCAACTCCGAGATCACCCTTACCGTCTAGGTCGATATTCGGTTCGTGATTGACGTGCATCGCTTCCAAACGAATCATATCTGCCCAGCTCTCGGCAAGATGCGCTCGTGGCATCTCAGCGCCTCCGTGCCGGCTCTGATGCTTGCCGTCTTCGGCCCTGTCCAAGAGGGGAGTGCGTGGCGCAATGGTTTGGCCAAGACTCCGCCAATGGGTTGGCTCTCGTGGGAACGCTTCCTCTGCGAGGTCGATTGTAAGAAGTATCCCGACTCATGTATAAGGTGAGCTCCAATCGCGAGGGAGTGACTCGAGACATTGAAAATTCACTCATGTCGGAGCGCTCCACCAGCATATTGCAGATCGCAGGGAATCCCACGCGCTTCGGATTCAAAGGCCAAAATTTCAATCTCTCTGTGGCAACCTTCACCTTTCCACGACAGTTTCTCTTTCTGAAGACTGTGCGGCTTTGTGACACACGAGAATAAATGCACGCCCCGTGCTGGTCGAACGGCTATTTGATAAAGATTCGCGCCCCAGCCAAGTCGGGTGCCGATCACATGGAATTCCCTCAATATCCTCAGGATCAGTTCCCGAGTCGAAGATAGGAGCCCAACGATTCGACGATGCGATGGCGATTCACTGCGGACAATCAGACGAGATTGATTCTGTATAAGAAGGAGCTTCGAGGGAATTCACTTCTTGGAGCTCGGTGTCGCGGATCGCCGGAACCCTAAAAGAGCTCAAACGATCCTGCGCCTAACTCGAACGATTCATATCCACAGCGAAAAGTTGTACACCCAAATGGCCGACGTGATGACGGAGGAAGGTTACCGAGACGCGGGTTACGAGTACGTCAATATCGACGATTGCTGGATGTCTTCACAGAGAGATTTCGACGGAACGCTCCAGGCGAATTACTCACGTTTCCCGCATGGCATCAAATGGCTGGCAGACTATGTACGTGAGCCACAATACGATAGCCTGTTCCACCTCCGAGCGGGTGGTCATCAGCTTATCCCTTACCTAAAAAATTTCGGACCCTCAACTTCGTTCCGAACTCTGCAAAAAGTGGCCGATTTCGCTCAATCACGCTCGTAGAGATTCCAACTCGAACCACGTCGAAATTCCATGAGCCGAAATGTTTCTTCTGATGTGGAACGCTAGACGTGCTCCGTGAAATTTATTTCGCTCCAACAGATGCACGCCCGCGGCCTCAAAATGGGAATCTACCAAGATTGTGGCACCAAGACCTGCGGCGGTTACCCTGGAAGCGAAGGATTTTTCAAGAAGGACGCGAACACGTACGCTGCGTGGGGGGTGGACATGCTGAAGCTCGACGGTTGCTACGCGGATCCGAACAAAATGGACGAGAGTTAGTAACGAATTCTAGAGATGGGTTTCTCTTTGGGACGAGTTGCTGTTTGCCGCAGCCCCTTAGACGGCATGACGTTTTCAGTCTACCCTCAAATGACACAAGCACTGCACGATTCGGGTCGGTCGATGGTGTACTCCTGCTCTTGGCCAGCTTACCAATTCGACAAACGGAAGCCAGATTACAATAGCATCTCGAAACACTGCAACCTGTGGCGTAATTTCGACGATATCGCTGATTCTTGGCAAAGCGTCACGAAAATAATGGACTACTACGCCAAAGTCCAGGACGATCTGATCCCCTACAGTGGTCCCGGCGCTTGGAGCGACCCCGACATGGTCAGTGATGTTCAAAGTCCTCAGCCGCGATCTCCTGATGCGATACGTATGATCTCGGAACTTTGTACGATGAGGATCGGATCGTCCAAGGGAATCGGATGGCCTAAAATGGAAAATTCTTGTAATTCATTGCGCGTTTCAGCTCATCATCGGTGACTTCGGTCTGAGCATCGATCAAGCTAAAACTCAGATGGCGATCTGGTCGATCTTGGCTGCGCCACTTTTCATGTCCGCAGATCTTCGAAAAATGGATCCCAAATTCAAGGATATTCTCCTCAACAGGGACGTGATCGCTGTAGATCAGGACGAATATGGCCGAATGGGTCGACGAATCTTCAACGTGCGTCTTCGATCGAGGGATTTTTCAGCTTACACTGGACGCCTCCTCCAGTCCTATGGGAGCAATTTCTTGATAGCACTTCCGTCGGGATGAGCCTAACTCGATTTAGGAGCGGGGACTCGGCAAGCAGAGCCATCCTGAGATCTTGTCTTGTGATTCTCCATCAACTAAATGAATATGATCCCCTTAATTAGGACAAATCTATTCAAATCTGGATCCGTCCCGTCGGACCGAGGGCTTCTGATGGCTCAATGTCGGCTGCCCTGGCAATACACAACAGGAATGACATGGGTGGTGCGAGGCTTGTCAACGTAAGTCCAATGTTTGGAGCGGAATAAGTCGGGCTCCCGTGATGCGCAAACACCGGAAGGTCAGAAAATGAGGCGATCCAGTTACGACACGGTCGTTCCGCGGAGCTCGTCTGGGAACTCGACGAATGAGAGACATAATTCAAGGAAGCAAGTGACGAATAATTCATTCACAGATATCCCTCAGTTCGATTGGATTGAACTTCGAGCGTGGCTACAATTTCACTGATCTCTACGACAAGACGATCGTTAATAAAACCATGACCCCTGACGACTACTTGGCGGTGCGCGTGAACCCGAGTGGTGTGGTGTTGCTCAAAGCGACGGTCAATGAAGCGGCACAATCAACGCCGGCGCCAAAGAACGTACGTAATCGCTCGAGGAAAGGAGATCGTCACTCGAATTCCGGAAGTCAAGGCTATCAAATGTCGCAAACGGAAGGTGGTCCTGAAATACACACAGAAGATCCTCCGAGTCGAGAGACCCTCAGCGAATCGGGAGGACATCCATCCGGACGGGAAACCGAGTGAAACTGACGATACCGTATATTCCCTATGCCGGATCATTTTCTTACGATCGTGGTCCATAGAATCCTCCGAATAAATGCATGTCGATCCGAAACTCTTGTATTCAAACGCCTGCCGTCCACTCGAGCGCTGAATGGCTCCTCCTTCTCGCGGAATTCTCCACGGAAAGACCCACTCATGCCTTACAGAAAGTTCTGACCCGATGGCACGCACAACGAGTTTATGTAAGGAACCATTCTCGACACAGCTCTCTTCCGTCGAGTGAATGAGTCACCTGAAATGCTCCACCCAGGTGGTGGTTGTGGCGGCGATGGATGTGAACACCGAGCGAGCCGCGCCGATAATGCTGGCATGCTCTCTTAATCTGCCTCTGGAGCCGCTTATGTCTACATTACGTCGATGTCGTCGCGAGTGTTTTGTCTCGTTTATTGAAAACAGAAACAAAACTGGGAAGCTCGCATGCGACGTCGCTCCAACGAACGGGAACCACCCCATCGGATAGCGTGCACGGTGCAGAGTATCCGGTCAACGAACAACCCTCGCCGGTCTGCTAGCCTGCCCTCACCTTCCGTAGTGGGGTGTCTGTCCACTGTATCCAGGCAACTCGAGTGGCCTCCAGGCAAAACATTTCGTGCATGTAAAACAAATGACACCGATAGTGTGAACGTGTTCCCATCGTACGTATTCCCTCGGATCTCTCAGAGTGTTGGCGGCGTAAACGTTGGATTTATCCATCGATCGAGTCCTGCCGTCCGCAGCCGGATCGCGCTGTCCGGTAGGTTCAGACCGTCCACCGGTTGGCTCCTCTCGATCTCGACTCATTCCTCGCCTCGGAGTGTCCGTCGGGATTTTCGCCAGTCAGGCTCCGGAGATTCACCTTTTGCCTTCAGGTACGGTCATTCGCATCCCGCACTACCATTATTCGGTTTTTATATCCTCATGTACTGTCAAGGAGGGACACCTGACGAAACCCGGGTCAAACGAAGTATTCGGTGCAAGGTCGACTGCGGCTGAGTGACGCCCAGTCCCGTAGCTCTCGTTCCTGGAGCAAGTGACCTTTGAAATTATTCAGAGTATTCGTGCGAACCTAATCGTAGGAAATAACGAGAGCCTGGCCCATTGGGCTTTCCGTCACTGCGGTCGGTCCATAACTTTGATCCTTGTTACGATAATCGGGCAGTAAATTAGGACTGTCAATGTCTCTCCCCAAAGGCTCCGGCGGTCTCTTGCCCGGATCGACGTTCCGTAGAAGCGCAGCCCGCGAGAGCGAGCCCTGACATGCGCGGAGTACGGCTTGAGAAAATGTGTTGATCTTCAGGGAGCAAAATCTTCGACTCATCCGCGGTTGAGAGTTGGACACGTGCGCGGAAAGAGACGTATCGCCGTCGACGACTGGATACCTCATTCGCAAACCCAGCACGGTGCACGGGTAGCATATTTGTAGGACAGAATCGCTGGAGCAAGTCCTCCTGAGCGAGGCATATGCTCTGCACGCGGGCAAACCTAGGCGACCGACTCCACGGTAGTCACAGAGCCGACAACACGGCAGCAGTAAGTTGTCGTGCTCACTGATGCGTTCTTCCCACGGAAAGCCACTGACTGAGGAGCCCCCACTTTTTAAACCTCGTCGCCGGACGGCATCTGGTCACTCTCATTGCTTTTCGGCCAATGAGCCTTCTGGTCGTCGTCGTCGCTGCCGCCGCCGTCACCACCGTATCGTCCATACCCAACGCCGGCGCCGCTGACGCTCCCGCCGTAGTGGCCGTGACAGCCCGTCTCGTCGCTAGCAATACTTCCTGCGATTTCACTCGCGCTGCCAGATGATGATGTAGACGGACAGAGCCCACAGGTGCCAGGGCAGGATACAGAACCTCATTTGAGGAAATTGGACGCTCTTCATTCGAGAGCCGGACTGACTTTTGCGGGATCTATCGTCTCCGGTAGAGGATGATCCATTAGATTTTTTCACTCGAAACTTCGTAATGATAACGGCATGTGATCTATCCGGTAAAACGTATTTGGGAGGTTTCTTTGTCAGACGCAACTCTCGGACGACGAGACGTGAGACTTGAATCGGTGCATGGATTCACGCTCTGCCGGAGGGAGCGCGGGATCGCTGATGAAATGGATTATAGTTTCTTGTTTTTCTGAAACTCTGCTATTATCTAATCATGAAAATCTTCGGAATATTTCCAGACCGCCCGAAAGTGTTGCCTCTAGTGACTCTCATGAGGGTGAGGAAAGAAAGGGACAAATTACGAGAAAAAGCGAGTCCGAAGAGCCGCTTCGATACGACGGTACTCGTTGACGGTATCGCTGCTTCGAAAATGACTCGATCTCAGGTCGGCGGGTTTATTTCATTCCACAAGAATCTTCATTCAAGGCCTAATAGTCCACATCCAATACACCTTGAGCGAACTGAGCACCAAAACTGCTCGGGTGCATCGGTTTCTCTGAATTTGATCCGAGACTCGACCCTATCATTCCAGCTCGTGGATGTGGTGGCAGAACTGATCGAGGGTCAGAACAGAGCCGTGAAGCGAAGGGATGAAGACGCAGAGCGACGGCGCAGACTCGCGGAGGAGGCGCTCCAGGAGAGAATGAGGCAGTTGCACGAACACCTCACCAAGGAGCACAAGACCCACATGAATCATCTAGTCCAAGTATGGAGTTCCCGTATGGATAGTCCTGTGACTTTCGAACCTATAGGTAGTCATTTCGGATGACTCTACGCCAGGAAGGCAGGATCTCGATCCGCTCAAGTTACGAGTGGAAGTTTTTCAGCGGTATGAGATGCAATTCGAAACCCTGCGGCTCGAAGCGGAGAACCGTATCGAACAAGCTCGCTTGACAGCTGAGCAGGAGAAACTGGATGAAATACAGAAAATTAGGGAGAGATACAGACAGGATCTCGAGAAGCTTGTCAACGGTGAACAGAACAGGTAGAGTCACTGCAAATTGTCCCGGGAACATCCTCAAGATCTCGAGGGGTAGGAGGATCTCTCAGACCGAGATGCCGTCGAGGGCTTTCTGCATCGCTCTCGAAACTCTTGAAACATGGGGATCCTTCCGCAGATTGGAGAGAACCCTGGAAGACGCCAAAGAGAATTGCGAACACATTCTCAAAGTGAACGTGGCCTATATAGAGAAACTACAGGTTAGTTCGGAAGTTTTATTTCGAAAGTTTTATTTCCCGCGCTCCCAGCGATTCTCTTCCGTTTTTTCCCCTCGTGTAGTCTGTATCTTGTCGTCCACAGGCCGAACAGAACTCTACGCGTTCGCGTTGTGATCACCTAGACGAGCAGAATCAATTGCTGAAACGTCAACTGAAATTCGCAACGCAAAAGGTACGTAGCTATTCATATAGTAAGCCGGCGCTGTCGCTGACTCGAGCATTCTCCACGTAAGACGCTCCTCGCATTACCGACCTATCTGAATCCTTTAACATTCCGCTCTCCGGTCTCATTAAGGTTCAACAACTCCTGACTGAAAATAGACAGCTGAGTCAAAAACTGGAGAAGATTAGAGGCAACCGGAGCAAGTTCGATGTAGGTTTCGATCGAGCAGGTCGTTTTTTTCATCCTGCATCCCAGGCTATCCAACATGATGGGTGCTCAGATCATGGGGAAGTTGAACCCATCCCAATCGGAATATCCCTCCTTCTAGCAATTGCGGGAAGAAACATACAAGCTGGCCGGGGAGAATCGTCTATTGAAGTCAGAAGTACTTCTCGCAGAAGAGTACTTCAAGAAAGCCGCGGAGGAGCGTGACGAGTTATACTCGACGTTCGTGCAGACATTGAACCAAATCCATTCAAGATCGTCATATAAGAGTGCGCAGGTAAAAGAGCCGTCTTTTTTCAGACCGGGCATTTACCCGCCGTCAATGCTTGTATTGTGGTTCTGACCACGAGTTTCCTGTATTTGTTCGAGTACGACTCCGCACAATCCTTAATTTTCTCGTCCGTTCCTAGGTGCGGCAACAATTGGACCTCGCCCTCGGATCCGAGAGTGAGGGAGGCGAATCCGAAGAGACCCTGAGTGGGATTGAGAAGTTATCCCTGGAAGATTCCCAGCAATGAGATGGTGTAGCGAGTACAAGCCCGTTCATAAAGTGGAGTGGGCTCGGAACGATATCGTTTGAAGTCTCCGGAACGTCGGGAACTCAATGGCTACTTTTCCAAAATATTCGCGCCGCCGAAAATGCACTTCTGCTTTTCTTCCGTCAGCGAATGTGCCTTCATCACGTCAGCATCTCGCGCCACTCTCATTTCGAAAATTAATATTACTGAACCATAAAAATAAACTGTGACATATAGATATATTAACACCAAAAATGAATTTAATGGCCATAGAACAAAAATGTTGCATTCGACTCCAGAGCCGATCGAGCCGAAATAGCGAGGAGGAGGAGATCGTCTATATGGCGTCACCAAGCTTCGACGATGGGGTCGGGAGCCACGAGTCGACTGGATCGGCTTCATCGTAGCCGTTCTCGTTCTGTTGTGACATCTGACCCAATCAGCTCTGGCCGCCGAACTTTCTCGAGTGTCAAACCCGAATAAGAGAGAATTAGCATATTGAGAGCAAGCCTCCTGGATTTTCGGAGGCCTCGAGCAGTGCCCCCTTCCCTTGCGCGAGCCTTTGTGGCCGCCTCCGTTGGGGGGGCTCAGTCTCCCTTCGGAGTCTTCTTCAGCTCAGGGTCGAGCACGGCATGACCACCGAATCGGTCAGAGGTCACCGATAGCGGCCTGTCGGATTCAGTATTCCCCCGTTCTCCTCTTTCACGTCAATAATAATTGGGATCCGGTGAGAACAGGAATCCCCGACTCAGATATGCTTGCTTCCTTCACGGGATACCTTCGAGAGCTCCGAGCTATCCAGCGTGTTATTTGTCGAGGTTCAGGGTCTGGGATTTGGGCGATTTCTGTTGCTCGGGTAAATGTTCCCGACTTCGTCTGTCGACGGCATAAAAACAGCTCGGTCTCGGTCGGGTTCGCTGGCTTCTTCGACGGGTTTCTCCTCGGCTGAGGCGGTAAGCCGGTCACTCAGAATGTCTCGCGTCTCAGTGTCCAGAGGCTCGCCGTCTTCCTCGAAGTGAACAGATCCTTTCCGTGAGCTCGTCCCCATGATTTTGGCCAGAACGTTCCCGTCGATTCTATTGTTGTGCTCCATCCGCAGCGGACAGGCTGGTTACGCGAAAGGCAGCATACAACTGGACATGTCAACTTTCAAAAAAGTATGTTTGTTACAAGTAGTCGGAACTTTCCAATCTGTAGCCTATGAATCGTTAAGGCTCGAAGCGCTTGGATCAGTCTCAAAGTTTTCCAGATAATTCCACATTTTCCGTGTGCAATCGTCAAAGTGGACAAGGATTATCCCCACGGTCGCAATCAGACCCAGTTCGAGAAACTCGTCGGGTTGCTGTCGCAGGACAAGCACACGATCGTCGCGGAAATCGGGGTGCAAGGTGAGGGCGCCGGAATGTCTGACACTGGGCTCTGCGGGCGGATTCGGAACGCGCGTTCCCCAGGATGTCTGGACATGAGCGGGATAAGTTCTCCATTTTGTTCTCGAGAGGGAGGTACATCATTAACGCTAATGTTCGCACGCCCCGCGACAATCAGAATTCGGCGAAAAAGAGAACACCGATCTGGCTGAATTTCTAAATGTTCCGCGGAAAGAACACTGGCCGGTATTGTTCATTTTCGCGCGGGACACAATGTCGTGGGCAGCGAAGTATCAGGGCTTCTTCAGCTTGAACAGACTCCGAAACTTCGTCAACCAGAATTCCGGTGGGTATTCTCATCATGATCCCTACTCCCGGGAGATGCCGAAATATTTCCGATGGATTCGGAGGCCTCGTAGCGACACGATTCTCGTGATTCAGAGGTACAATGGAGCTGTCCGGCTTGCATTCTTGAACTGGATCGGCTAGTGAAAGCCCATCTGTTCGACAGGACTCTGCTGGCAGAGCAAATGGTGTTGCAGACGAAGATCTTCATCGCCAGTCTCCCACGTACCGATAAGAGGAGCACCACAGCTGATTATTATCTGAAACTCATGGAAAGAATCTTAGACTTGGGGGTGAGTGCGTTTGCCGATGGGGTCGAAGTTTCTGAGATGAGCGGTCCTAGAATTTCTCCGGTTTTTCCCGTTTCCAGCAACCCGCAGTCGCGAAAGAATCTCAACGAGTCGTGAGACTTCTTCAGATGAAACTCCCGAAGGCGAAGAAAGTCCTGCTGAAAGAACGCGTGGACATCCTTTACTATTCATTCGGAGGTAATCTGTGGAGCTTCCAGGAAGAGGAAATTGCCGATGGGTCAGCACAGGATGAAAGAGACGAACTATGATCTGAACAGAGCTCGTTCGAGGGAGCCTGATCAAATCCTTACGCTCTAGCAGAATAGAAAAGAAGGAAAAGCGGCTGTTCCGCAATGTTACACTTTCATCGCCAGCGAAGACCGCATATGCCAACATTAGGATGATATGCTACCCACGTGTCCAATAAAGTCGAATTTTTCTGTAGGTCAGCTACCGTGTGCTAAATCGGTGACTCGCAGGCTGCGAGTCGCAGCCAACAACACGGGGGGCACTTGGGGAGTTCACGGAAATATTTAAACCCATGGTATCCGTGAAACCAAGCACCTCATCATCAGATTGTCATGATGACACTCTGCGCTCGCGAACTCGGGCACACCGCCGCGTAGATTTCCCCCGAAAAACATTCGTAAAGAGAATCGTCTTAAGCTCTGGGACTGCCGCTTCATCTTCCGGACCCAAACTCCAATGTGCGTTGGGTCTAGAAGGGGAAAGAATTTGAGCGAAATCCTGGCCTCCATGTTGCTCCGGCAGGATTTGGATGGAGTCCCTCTGCTCTCGCAGAGTTGCATGAACGACGGCGCTTCGTTCCTGAGAATGGACGTTGGTCCTCAGTCAACGGGTCTATCGGACATTTCCATCAGCAGGTCTGTTCACCGATCCCAGATCGGCATATAGTATCTGGTGAGCCGTAACACTTGGAGATCTAGAGCTTTCCCGGCAGCTCGTGCAAGCAACGCTGGTGATTCTGGAGGCTTCCTGAAAGCGCTTCAAAATTCGAATTATCAGAGTACATGTCAAGGGAAAAATCCAGCGGAAAGAGAGGGAAACGGAGACGACAGATGGGCCTCTCACGGCACTTGGTCGAGTCAGAGCATCGATTCGACTCTGTATAGGAAGCGCCCTTCCAATCTCGCGGGCAGCGACATTTTCAAAAATGGCGCCTAACTCAGCTGTGCATCCGCCCGTCAGGTGACCCCTGGCTGGCGCGACGACGACGACGAAGAAGAAGTTCGACTAGCGATCAACTCTGGCCAAGCCTCAAAGGCCATGTTGTGTATATAGCGTATGTGCGGTGTACATAGCCAGGTGTAAATACTTGTAAATAGTGCAACCCTTGCGGCACCCGGGCACGCCTCAGGTACGTGACACAAGTGTTCAATCGCTGATGGATGCTCATCGTTTTGTCATCAGTTGCGCAGAGCGCTGCTTGGGTCCGAGGGCATTCGTCCCCATTACTCACGATACTCCACCCTTTGCCTCCTGGAGTACGCTTTCTAAGTCTCTTCAGCCTCTGGTGACATCCCACGTAAATTCGGTTCCGTCTCCCGTCGGAATCGTCTACCTCAGACGTCAAGCCTAGCCGGTTTCAGTGACCAGCTAGCTGGTTAGCTACTACTGTGGGGACCCTATCCATTATGGTCTCTCGAAGGCGTCTGCCAATGTGTATGTGCAGTGAAAATCGTTCTCCTGCAGAGAACTTCGACGAGAGCTCGAGCAGTCATGGAGTCGCTACATTCTCGACTCCTTCCTTTTCCTTGGGGATCTTCTGACGGGTATCCCGTCCGTAAACATCTTCTGGGAGCTGCAGACGTGATCGCCTGCGAGCGTGTATCGGTCTCTGGGCTGGTACGGTTTCGATTACCTCAAAATACCATTCTCTGTCAAGCAGAAACTTTGCTCGCCGCTCCATGCTCCTCGATTCAAGGCCCGTCTGCCCAAGTTTCGCCGCTTAGCCGCTGCTTGAGTGTCATGAGTGTTGATTCCATTTTCGGGTCTCTTTAAAGGTCGGAGCACCGTCGCAGTTCCTGCTGGCAACGCGTTCAGCGCAACTTGTTCCTAGCGTCCATGAATGAATGAGCGGTTCTTCTGTATCCTCCCATTGAGGAAACATCTGCGACCTCTCTGATCGAGGTATCCGTTTTTCGGAAGATCGCGGAAATCCGATTCCGCGACTCTCGCATCACGATTTTCATCGCACAGAGCCTCATCGAGACGTTCGATGACGTCATCGAGTCCAGATGCTTCTTCGTTGTGGGTATTCGTCGCCCTCGAAGAAAATACTACTCATCGGTATTATTATTCGATCCCTCGCTTGTTGATGTTTTCGCGAGCTGCAGACCTATATCTTCTGAATCTTCTGGGCTCCAGTCGTTTCTGTGACTCCAACAACCAGAAACCGTTTTGTTTTCCCGTAACATCTATCTCGGGATCTCGAAGCTGCTAGAAACAACGCTCGGAAAATATTCGATCCGAGAGTAGGGATTTCCGAGCGGATCAGACAAACACTCTCATGGCGTTGATGTCATGTTGCGTTCTCGGAACCGAAGAGCTCTCTCGCTCGCTCGATTGCAGCGGTGTAGGTCTATATTTCATGGGTTCGCAAAGCAGGCAGATTGAGCGAAGGTCATCCCCGTCAAACCTTTTCGGGTGCCGAATGTTCGAGTTTGGTGGAATTCTGAAGAGACGGCGCGATCGAACGAGTCGCATCGACGAGCGGTGGAATTCGAGTAGGCATACTTAGGTCATGGGACTTCGGATGAGGTCATTCATAGGCCCTCTCGGGGTCTCGAGCAGATCTCCGTAGATCGAGAATAGATGAATGGGCGATGGTCGCCAGCTTGGCAAAAGGACAAATGAGCGAGTGTGCTTCTTCGAACCTTCTTCGGAAATTCCGGTAGCGGATGTTTTTCAGATTATTTTCGCTCTCTCCTCCACCCTTCCGTCAGTCGGTATGGGTCTGATCCGCATCCAGCTGAGACGAAGTCTCCAGCTCCGTACGGAACAGCGATCTTCTGAATTTTTATACCATGCCGCTGGTTCCTATTGCTCATGGATGGAGGGATCTGAGAGAAGAGCAGTTACGGATGCGATAAACTCAGCTATTGAACGCAATAGGGAAGCGGTCCGATTCGCAACACTTACATATTGGGGACAATTCGAGAATTCGTCTACCGTCCAACAATCAAGCGTCATGATAAGCATGTCCATAAGATTCAATCGAGTTCTTTGGCTTCGAGTAACGTGTTATGAGGACGACATCGCGATGAGTCGTTGTGAGTTCTTCTCGCTCCGATGGAACAGATCTGAATGTCATCCTCAAGGCTACACGATGGATACTCTTCTGACTACAATGATTCGCGTGTTTCCGTCGGGGCCTTCTTTCGTTATGACCAGAAGAATTTCTTCCTTCCATCAGCTCGGGTCCCCAGTAGCCGCGGCTCCCAAGGATCGAACAATATTTCCACCATTATACGGCTGCTCACTGTGAGAACTCTGGGTAAAATGAAGAAAAGAAGGAGGCATCGAAGAAGAATTGTTCCGTGACGAGCGAGAACTAATCACCGTGGAGCCTCTCCCTCGCGCACTGATGGGGCTCTTGTGACACAATGCGAAAAACAGATTTTCTTCCGCAGGAGCTGATAACATCAACGGCAACCAACACCGAAGAACAACTGGCGTCCCCATCAGAACACAACGAGAGTGAATTCATTCATCAATCCATCTGACGACGAATACTTTAATCGACAACAATCAAAAATCACTGTCCGCCGATCCATCCGGGCGACGGGTGGAAGATCGACGAGCGTCGTACAACCCGATTCAGTCCCAGAACTGTTGAGAAATCAGATACTGCAGAACAGAGGGCAGTTCGTGGGCGTCAGCAGTCGGGATGGAGATGATGAACGGGGCCGCAGAGGCGTCGCGCGGGTCTGGCGCTCCTCAGAGGGCGTCCAATGGGACCGTTGCTGCCCCCCAAACAGTGGCGAATAACGGCGGCGGGAACAACAACAACAACAGCCACGACATCGGCTGTGGCAGCGGTAGCAACAACACCGAAATCAACCAGGACAACAACAACAGTGGAAACATGAACGATTCTGCCTGCAGTGGCGGTCCCGTCGGTGGCGGCAATAGCATCAGCAGCATAAACAACAACAGCGGCGGTGCTGATAACGAGAGCAATACAGTTGGAGTGGTAGGCAATAGCAATCAGAACACCGGCAGCAGCCCCACGGACAGTAGCGCAAGCAGTTGCACCGGCGATAGCAGTACTAATGTTGGCACTGGCAACAGCAGTTCTGCCTGCACCAGCACTCTGACCAGCAGTACCAGCAGGAGCAACAACAGCAGTAACAACATCAACAACAATGGCGGCACCGGCAGCAACAACAACAACCATGCTGCTGGTCTCAATAGCCAATCGGTCGCGTCGACGCCGATGGTTGCACCGGCAGGAGGTCCACATCGCAGTCAGGACGACGCCATGGTTAGGTGAGGGTGACACGCTAGTCCTTGTGAACCGCCCGACTCCGTCCACGGTTTTTTTTTCTGTCTAAATCGGATCGGATCGAATCATCGAGAACTGCTTTGTCTTTCCAGCTATTTCTTTCAGCGGCCTGATTCAGATCTCCAAAGCTACACGAAACACTCTCGATGGGTTATTGGCGATGGCACTGATAGCATTGGAGGAGCGGCAGACAACACTGCTGCAGAGCTCGAAAGCGAGTTTCAAGCGCTCGCCCTCGAGACTGGGGGCTCACACTCGCAAATGATGCCCCCCAGCTCTGCGAAGAAACTCTGGTCTCTGGATCCGATGTCTCCGAGCCAAATAGCAGGAGTAGCCATGGGACAGAAACAAATGCAAGACGATGCGAATAAAGGCATTTTCGTTGACCAGTGGAGAGATTCCACTTGGAGCGGGGGTTACACGCAGCAGGTTCCCGCCGAAGGTCATAGTCGACTTTCCGAAAAAGTTGTCGAGTACGTCCTGGGAGGATCCAGCCCTACCACTCTGGGTCTCAAGAAGTCGTTGACCAAGGATGTCAAGAAGCATGCGCAAGCGAGCCACATGAGCAACGGCGTCATGGCCGATGAGTATGCAGCCCAAGTCGCCGGAGCGGAAGAAGTTCTCGATAAGAAGAACGTCATCGTTCAAACATTCGATATGGGTGCTCAGCCATCGATCGGCTTCGACTACTCGGGTCATGCCGGACCCGATGGGGCCAACGGTCTCATCGGCTCGCTCGACGCCACTGGCTCGATGCTTCCTGACTATCCTGGTAATCCGACATTGAGCACCAGCCAACAGACAATGGCGTATCCGCCCGGGAGCAACCAGCAACGACAGCAACCTCCTCAAGGTCGGTGTGCGCCGGGCTTCTGGACACGAGAGCCTTATTGAGGACCTTTTCGAAGATAATTGAAGGTTTTTCCCCATCGATGAAATTATGTTCTTTCGTTCGCAGGCTCGGGTCACATGCTCGCCCACCACATGATGGCAACTCAACAAGCCCACCCGCACCCACAACAGTACCAAGCTCATCATCAGAATCCGTATCTCGCAGCTGCTATGAACCAAGATCCCTACGCTGCGATGGGTCTGTTGTCCCCAGCCGCGATGCCCTTACCTGCGCAATACTACGGTATGCCGCCGTGGGGCATGTTCCCCAACCCTGCGGGAACACCTAATCCAGGGGGACCGCATCCACAAATGACCCAGAGGCCAATCACGCCCAGTGCCGTGAATGGGGACAGCGGTCAAGGTCCACCTGGCAGCCAGTTCTCGATGATGGGAGGCCCGCCAGGAGGCTACTACGACAACATGATGATGGGTCATCCGGGGGCACATCCAGGGGCCCATCCGGGAGCCCCACATCCCGGCGCTGGTCGGGGCCCCCATCCGCATCCCCAGGCAGGGGTTAGACTGCTTCAGCCACCTGCTGGTCACATGCTCATGAACCATCCGCAGGGTCAGCAGATGCAGCTTAATCCGCAGAACAATGCCGACGGCAGCATCAGCGGTTCGGGTCAATCGTCGAGCAACCTTTTCTCTCAAGGTCAGGGAGCAGCTCCCTCAGGACTGGGAGGGAACGCACTGAACGGTGCCAACAGCTTGAATTCGTTTGGCAACTTTGGGTCCAACAGTGGAGGCCAGAATACCTCGATGGCTGGTCTGGGACCAATCGGAACAACTCCGATGGGACCTATTGGAACGGGATTAGATTCTCAACATCCAGGACGCAGGGAGTCTTTCGACAGAAGGGATTTCGGCAATCAGGTGAGCTGTGATTCCTCGATGAGAATATCCCGAGCTTATGAGATGGAGCTTCATACGACAGGGAATCGACTGATCCAATACCGATGACTTCGTCGAAACTAACCGAACCGACAGTCGCTGCTTTTCCAGGGCCAACGTTCATTCGCTGAGCCTTTTGGCCCTCCTGGAAAAAATCAGTACTACAACCCGCTTGGTATTGTCCCTCCAACTCAGAGCCTGACTCCTCCTCTACCGGGGCTGAATAGCTCTACGTCGAACTTGAATTTGGGTGCAACGCTGACCTCTAGACTGGTGTCGGGTGGTCAGCCTGACTCCAAGTTCCCGCTCGTGCGAAATGGCGGGTTGGGAATGGCCGGTTTCGGGCAGGCTGGCGGGTCGTCTCTATTTGCCTCGCAGAACAGTAATCCCGTCAACATGCCGAGGAAGTGAGTCCGATCCCATGCATCCACTGATCGAGGACGGGTCTGCCGCCCTTGCGATTTCAAATATTGAAAAAAAATCGAATTCGGACCTTCGGTCTAAAGCTCATTGTCTTTGCAGTGGCGTGCTTGAGAAAAATAGTGGTCGGTCCCGTCTCCTTGAGGAGTTTCGGAACAACCGCTACCCCAACCTCCAGCTCCGCGATCTCCTGAATCACATTGTGGAGTTCTCTCAGGATCAACACGGTTCGCGCTTCATTCAACAGAAGCTCGAACGCGCGACGTTGGCCGAGAAACAATTGGTGTTCAACGAAATCATTAATTCAGCTTACTCTCTCATGACGGACGTCTTCGGAAACTACGTCATCCAGAAATTCTTCGAATTCGGAACTCCTGAGCAAAAGCAGGCGCTGGCTGCGCGTGTCAAGGGGCACGTGCTTCCTTTGGCTCTGCAGATGTATGGCTGTCGAGTGATTCAAAAAGCTCTTGAAAGTATACCATCCGAACAACAGAAGGAGATCGTCAGGGAGCTCGACGGCCACGTTCTCAAATGCGTCAAGGATCAGAACGGAAATCACGTCGTACAAAAGTGCATCGAGTGCGTCGACCCCCTCGCATTGCAGTTCATCATTGATGCCTTCCAGGTAGGACCTCTCTCCTTTTCCTTTTTTCGTGGTATCCTGTCGGACCTCCCTGTAGGGGTCCTGAGCCTATCCTCCGGTCATTTCAAGGGGAACTCATTCCCCTTGCCCGGCGAAACCAGCGGGAGAAACCGAGGATGATTTTCTGAAATCCACATCGTGTTCTCCAGGGCCAGGTTTTCGCATTATCCACGCATCCGTACGGCTGTCGTGTCATCCAAAGAATTCTGGAACACTGCACGTCCGAGCAGACGTCCCCTATTCTTGAAGAACTCCATCAGCACACCGAGCAACTTGTGCAAGACCAATACGGAAACTACGTGATCCAACACGTGCTGGAGCACGGTCGAACCGACGACAAGAATCAGATCGTGGCTGCCACCAGAGGGAAAGTGCTCGCCTTATCGCAGCATAAATTCGCCTCGAACGTCGTCGAAAAATGTGTGACTCACGCCTCTCGCCCAGATCGCATTTTGCTTATCGAAGAGGTTTGTTCTTTCCTTGACGGAAGTGCTCTCTACACAATGATTAAGGATCAGTATGCCAATTACGTCGTGCAACGCATGATCGAGGTCGCCGAGCCACCGCAACGTAAATTGCTCCTGCAGAAGATCCGACCTCATATGGCCTCTCTACGCAAGTACACCTACGGAAAACACATCTTAGGCAAACTAGAGAAATATCTCATGAAGGGTGCAGCGCAAGGTGGTAATCTCGCCTTAGATCCCCACGCGGCGCCTTAAGCGAACCGTAACATGGACGGTCCATAAGATTGGTAGACGAGCAGCGATGAGACGAGCAGCTTCGAGCCCAAACCAGAGCTCGCTCAATCGATCGCTTCCATTCGGACAACAATTTTTGAGTGCGTTTCCTTTGAAGAATCTTCCCCATGACCAGTGCCGCCTTCACCACATCATCTGGAATCATGTGTCTGTCCATCAAATTTATCCTTCGACGCGGTGGTACTGAGACGCTCCCATTGTCAAACCCATTTAACGAAAGTCATGGAACACCGATGAACTCCAGATCTAACTTGACTCTGCTTAGGAATCAATTTGACTTCAATTTTGGAACGCTGAGAGGAATCAGCTTTGCCCCTCTACACGGCTTCATGAAAAAAGAAAGGTTTCGAATATCTGGGTAGCTTTGAAATTCGAAGTCCGAAGAGAAAACATCGTTCATACAACATGGATACATGGAATGGATCAATTGTGACAGAAACGGAGGAACGAGCAGACAAACATACACACCCATACAAGAGCGGGAACTTGGATAAGCGTTGCGTCGAGCTTCAAGCGGATCGAATTTGGGGGTCTCATCCCTCTCGAGGGGGACTTCCGAGATCCGGAGCCGGAGCTTTTTTGTCTTGGCGAAGAACGAGCGGCCAGATCCAAAACCCGAAAGCATACGAGTTTCACGTGGAACGTCAGCGGCGGGCGGAGCAGACTATGTCGATTTCCCGTGAGTTCGGACATGATATGGCTGTCTGTTTCACCTGGAACTCCTCGTACACCCGGAGACAGCGCTCTCGGAATCCCGCTGAAGTTCGGTAAACGTTCTGTCGTGCGCCGAGCCAAGCGACTCTGAAACCCCATAAGAGACTTCTTACATTTATCCACGCTTCTCTGGCGCGGAATCATCCAGCCGGATGCTGCATCGCTCCCAGGACTGGAGTCGGTGCTGTATCTCGAGCACTGAACGATACATTTGCGCAAGTCGCTGACATGGAATAGGACACTATGGAGATTACGTGGATCCCGTACTCGATACGACCCCCGAGGTGTTCATGATGCGATCCATCCTTTCGGGATAGGCATGAGCACGTTAGGGGTCGGAGTTGACATAGTGGAGATTCCGCTTGATGAGCGCTCTGTTAGATGACTGAGTCAACAGCCGGGTATACGAGCGCAGGATTGATTCTTATGTGTACCGCATATTCCCCATGTGAAATATTTAAAGGGAAAACCACAAAAAAAAGACGACCCATCCCACATACCCCTGACGGCGTAAAAGTCGCGAAGCTGATGAACGTTTCTGGGACGTCGTACAGATTGAGAATGTAGGAAACATATGCTCCCGATATTTATTAGTTAACTCGAGTGATTTTATGGTCCTGTGTATCACGACAACAGCAGCAAGAGGAAACCGCATCAAAAAAAGACACAACAACAACATCAACAATTACCACTACTATCACCACTACTACTACAACTACTACTACCACAGACGATACCCGAAAGATAACAGGATTGATACTATAATTATTATTCCTATCAAGACGGCGATGTCCCATACATTACTAATAATGCAAGAGATGTTTCAGTTGTTTCATCTCCGTTGTCTTGGTGGCCGTGGTGGGAGCGAATACCGGCAGACTCGCCGAAAGACGAAGGAGCCAGATGTAGATATACTGGTCGCTGTGAAGGTGCTGTTTTTTGTTTGCTGCTGTAAGAAGAGGCTAGGGAGTCGGAACATTAGGTGCTGTGATTTCGGAAGGCGGTCGGAACAAACTCCGAGGTCTATTCTGAGTAGGACCACAGCAATTTTTTTGGAGAGGATTGATTCTCTGGGATCCCGCTTTTGAACCTTTACGACTGAGTCTACCGGCAGAACGCGTCTCGGCGAGGGAACTCCGTCGGAGACGAACGATTCTGTCCGGATTCGAACAGAACAGTCGAGTTGACAACTGTTATTAGCCTCCTCCGAGCTGACAGTTGGGGATTTTTTGTAAAATTTGTATGTTTGTGTACCATATACCTAGCAATGTGAAGATGCATATATCGTCGAGAATCACAAGAGATACGGAAAGAGAACCAGAGGTTTTTCAACCAACTTCTACTGAGACAACATCGACGCATTTGAGCGGCCTAATCTTTTAGTCACATCGACAACACGTCAGAGAGCGTGAAGAGACAGAAGAGGAAAAAACACGCAGAAATCACTGCGACTGGGACCGGCGTTTCAATGCTGGCATTATATAGCGACGCTTTCTCACTTCATTCGTAAAGTGTCTGATGAGATTGTTTCGAGTCTGTGCTATGTCTCTTCGGCCTTGATTTAATTTCTGGTCATACTGCTTCGCGACATCTCCATCGGGCAGATGTTCAATGTTCTCAATTGTTCTCCACTGAGTGTACAGAAAAGGAGTGCGTCCGACCGCCGGACGCTTCAAATCTATTCCGACTCCGTTCGATTCCGATTCGAACTCGCGTGGAATTTCGGTCCCGCGCCGAAGGAACAAATAATATTCGACGGTGAGTCTCGTCAGTGATCTGAATCCGAAACATCAAGTTTCCAGGCTCTGGCGTCGAAGCCGAGATTATTTGCTCTCCGAGCAATCGCGGACTCCGAGCGAGCGGTGCCGATCGGGGTTCAACCACATTGACCCGACTCGGACTGTACTGGTTCTGATTGGAATTCTTCTCATGGTCAGTGGTGAAAGTATCTAACCGTGACACAATGGGGAGCTTTGGAAGATCTTCGTTGATCGGACCCAGTTGACGAGCACCGTGGAGCAAGCAAAATAACTAGCCGAGCGCAGACGCGACACCTTCAACAGCGGGCCGTGTACATTTGTAGATAGATCAAACAACCCAAAATTGAACAGGAACAACGCTCCCGGAAGAAAGACAAACGAGCACAGAACCGAAAAAACTGATATCATCATCAGAATTTTCTTCTTCGTATGTGATACCTTGAAAGGACTTCGCCGACTCGTCTCACCACGGATATTGAACAGCTACCACGAAAGCGCTTACTTGAGTGATTGGGCGTTTTTCCTCTTTCCGGCAATCGGATACGACTGTATTGAGGTATGATAGATGAACGTGAGGAGAAGACGACGGAAATTTGACTGAAGTCAAACGGAGTTATGTAACAACTTTGAAAAATCTAATTGCGGTACGCCATGAAGACGAGGTTGCCCGCCTTATCTCTATAGATATGAAGTAACAATTGAACGGAAGATGAACGTCATTCGAACGTATGTCATTCTGGAAACGATCGCTGCCACGGGAAACTCCTGGCGACTCGTTCGTTCTGCACGACTGCGTCTCTGGCCGAATCTCGGTCGGAAGTAGAACGAAGGAACGTCAAACGAGCATGTTCGTTGCGAAGTTGTTCCTCGTCGGACCATTCCGGTGCGCAGGGGACGCTCCAAAACGAATGAGGGAGAAACGCAGCTAAAATCGGCGCTTTTGATCGATGACTACTCTTTCGTAGCTTAGAATCCCTACTGTTCACACCGTTAATGTCATGGAATAGAGAGACAGTGGGCCTTAAATCTAAATGGACTCTCGCAACGACAAGAATACCAACCACAGGATCTAAATATTCGGCTTGATGGTTTGTGTAAGAACATTGTAAACATATTGTAAAGTTATACAATTCTATATTAGCTCATCATCATGGAAATAAATTCGAATGCAAGAGTCATATCTCCGTGTCCTCGTTCCCGACTTCCTCGACGCTTGCTTCTTCTATTGGATCGTTGCGCCCCTCCGAATGCCCCTTTCGAAAGGGGAGCTCATGTTGGGGAGAGCGTGAAGAAGAAGACGATTTTCTTTAGATAGGCATTTATTATCTCTTTTGCAAGATCTTCTTCATTATACATACATTATTTTGTCGCGTGGGTTCGTTTCTGATGAGGGGGGGAACCCCTACCCCGGGGACTTCCGCATTGCATTTAGAAGGGTCGAGCTCTTCCACAGAAGTCGGAAGATCTCATTCGAGTGTACAGTATAACAGAGTTTGTATGGGCATTCGGGCCTTATTTACATCTTAATACAGATCTAGCTCGTCATTGGCGATTTTCCCCGACGCGGTCCCAGGTCGCCTCATGATCTGACTCGCCGGAGGAGAGGGCGCTTCCGCAGACAGGGCTGCGGTCATGAACTCACTCAATACAATCGAGCCTTCCTGGCTTCAATCTCAAGCACAAGCGCGAATTCGAATAGTCTCCACCAGTAGGCGGGACAACAACTAGTTATTAGCGAGGTTTGGACAATGATTGCTGACTGCTTGATCGGGACGACGCGACGGCTCCGGTAGTGGCCCCTGCGGGTGTCCGAGTGAAAGCGCCTATCAGAGCTCCGGGTTCCCGAGGGGAGATCTCAGTGACGATGCGACTAGTTCTGCGCCTCGATGCGTATCGCATATGCTGCGGACGGAGTCTTGCACTTATCTACCGAGGATCGATCTGACCCGTCCCGATCGGAATTCGAGCCCATTCGTAGATCCTTCCCGCGGCAGCCTTGGGTCCTCCATCAATGAACTTATCCGATCCAAACCGGCGTCAAGGAAATTACATGAAGAGCTACTTCCGGGCACTCCCGGAGAGGCGTGAGGTTCCGGGAATTCGAGGGAAGCGCAGATAATGCCTTTAATCTCTGGATTGATTCCCTGGGAACGGGGATCGCCGAGAAAGCTCACTCAAAACGGACGAAAAAATACTTCGACCAGTCCGTAAAAGATAAGGTTCTGAAGAATATATGCTGCTTATCGCTATTGATGAAAATAAGTTACGTTCTGCTAAAATACGATGAATTGCTGATAGTCGCGATCACTACGCGGTTTCACTCCACGGGGAAAGCCGCAATATACCGCAACACGCTATCGCTTTTTGTATATTATATCAGAATTTGCGCACGGAAAGCCCGTCGGAGGACTCGACTCCGTAATCCTATTTAACCTATACACCTGTTCGCAGTTCTGCCACCACGCTATTTGACCTCGATTTCCATCGGAGTTTCCTCGGAGTCCTTCGACTCGGCTGATGAGCTCGACGTGGTCTTCGCCGTCAGCGGTGCGGTTTCCCTGCAAATTCCGAAATCGAGGAATGTAATAAACGAGGCATCGAGCTCCGTCGCTCGGAATGAGAAAAAATCGCTCGCCAGCCAGTGGTCTTTAGACGTTCTCGAGCAAGCGACTAGCAACTTACGCTGAGGGGTAGTAGTGCCGGAGGCGAAGATGCCAGGCTATGCTGGCCACGGCGGTCACCGTGCGGAACTGGTGGATGATATTGCGAGGAAGGAAATAAATATCATTGTCACAGAGATTCACTCTTGCATAGCGAACCCCTTCTCTGCGTAGTTGATTGAGTTTGGCGTCTTCAACCCACTGTATGCACTGAGAGACAGGAGGCTCGTGCAGGTCCAGCTGCAATTTCTCCACCAGAGACAAATAGTCGCTAGCATGGAACGCCACCACATCCTTGGTAACACGATTGCACCATCTCTCCCCGTTGACAGCTTTGAGGATCCCCACGGCAGCCGTCGTCATTCTGTCAAGACCCTGACCAACCTGGTCCGCGTGCGCCTTCGTTCGGTCCTCGAAAAATATCTCACGGGGCTCCGTCGAACGCAGAGGTTGGTAATAAAGGTTCTTGAGTTCTTTGCGAGTCGGTTTCATCGGAGATCCTTTGACTTCGGCTGTCGGAACCATTTGTTCACCCGGGCGGACCCAAACAATTGGACCGTCATTGCTGTGCCGGGGGTCGAATTGTTCGACAGATAACGAGCCCCACGGCATTGTCGGTTTCAAGAAGGGGCTCTGCTCCAACATTTTCAGGAAATCGGGAAAGAAGCCCCCCGTCTCCTCCTGGGCTGTTCCCACCACAGAGATCTGATGCAGGGGTCCGGCGCGATAAGTACCGCAACTGTACGTGCGTTCTACGAGATCCTTGAATTCGCGCATGGTGGTTGTCTCGATGTCACTTTGTCTGCCAAGTATTCCGCATTTGACTTTCATTTGAGGATGTGTCGCAGCGAAATAGTCGACGAGGTCTGGCATGTACGATGCTCCGTTGTGGACCACCGACACTACGTATTTTGCGCAGCCTTGCGTCGATTCACGGAAAGTCTCTTTCAGGTACTCCTTCACAAGTCGTTGCATCTCTTCCGGGTTCAGGTGTTGGATTTCATCGAAATAAAGATGCAGGATGTCTGCGCCGCCGTTCGAATGACGCTCCCGTCGGAAGAACCTGCGGGGAGTGAGGGAAATCCGGCGTGAGACCTACTGAGTGAGAGAAGGAGCAGGATTTCGTTCTCCGGTACAGCCGCTTGATCCTCAACTCACCTTCCGAACTTGTAATGATCGTATTCCAGGGTTTCCGGGAAGCGCGCCGTCTGCAGACCTTTGGGTTCTATTTTCAGCGGCAGCGTACTCCGGTCCCGTTTGCACTGTATGCTACAGTTGCGCATTTTTTGCAGTCGGCGTTTACACCGAGAACATCGGGAAGATCCATCCTTAGATGACCTGTAACTATCCAAGATGGAAATATAAATCCGGCCGACTTCAAACATAAGGTCCGTAGTACTCTTCGGGAGGATGTTTATACCCAAACTGATATACATATCCACAATATGATGTATCGCATATCCCATCGTCCTCTTTTAGATTATTATCCTAATCGTACAGACCTGCCTTTCTGTCGATTTTCATCTTTGTGCCGTTCGCGGTGAGCTTTTTCAGAATGCTTCCGATGGCTCTTCTCGGACTGAGCCTCGGCTTGCTCGACTTTGACCTCAGCCAAAACTTCTGGTTTTATATCGAGCTGCAACCCGCAGACCGGAGAGGTGTACTGTCCTGGAAATTATTGTCATTGAAAAGACGGCCACAATTGAAGCGTGACCATGTTCTGAAAATTTCCCCTACGCCTCTTCGAACACGCCTCCACTCGATGGTTGCCGCTCGATTTCGATGTTTCCGATTCTTGTACAATCTCTAACAACTCCTCTCCGACTTGTGACCGATTGTTCGTCTCTTGTTCCTCCTGTCGAAAGAGTCTTCTGCGTCGTGATCGATGCCCTATTCATACGAGCGTGGTCTGGTGCATGGTTTACAAGGGGCTTGGAAAAAACACCTGGGGCCTAGCTCGAGCGTTTTCGGGAGGAAGAGACATCTCTAGCGATTGTTTTCGTGGAGCTCTGGCTCTACTCCGAGATCGATTGGTATGAGATGAGGATTGGAGCTCTCGATTTCGTAAGCAATTCCGAATCTCAATACCCTTTGGAAGAATGACGCCGCGCCGAGCCCTGAACCGACAGAACCGATGTATACTGAGCGAGCCTACTCGAATGGAGATATGAAAAACATTTGAGACTGAGCTGCTGTCCAGACTGACCACATGGTGAGCCGACAATTCCGTCGGTAAGAGTCGGCCAGCCGAGAGAGCGCAAAAACATCATATCATCGGCACACCGGGGAAAAACTGCGCTGCGTTTTCGACCGCGCCGCCGAAGCTTTAGCGAAACGCGGATGCATTGAAGGATTCCGAGTCTTTGTAGGAGTCCCTGCCCCGATGAAGTCTGGAGGGCAAGCTGGGCGGAAAACGCGGTCGTTTCCTCGGTGAGTCTCTACATAGAGTTTCCTCGGAGCTTCTGAACGCAGTCAGGGGTGTCGAACGCGAATGTGGACGACGAAATGATCGATATACGCTCGGCATTAGCACATGGACACACTTACTTCCTGAGGAGTTGTCGCTCGCATTCTGATCCGAAGCCGCCTCGTTAGGTTTCCTCGTCAACTGGGCGTTATTCGTCGCCGTAGATGTTGGAGAGATGGTCGTGGTCGACGCGTTGTTGACTGTCGATGTAGCTGAAGAGAGCCGCTCGATGCCGTTGGCTCCTGGCTCTCCCATGGAGACCATTATGGACACCGAAGTAGACGTCGCGTGAAAGTTCGACGGTAGACGAAATCTACTTCAGTCGCAAGAGCTCTCTTCCCCAGATCTCAAGCACTCTCATCGAACGACGGCGACGACAACGCTAGGAGTTTTGGTCGTTTGTTCGATTCGCCCGTTCAATTTCAAGACACCTCTCAGGTGTCCGACTTGATTGTCGTGATGACGATGATGACGAGGAGGCCACGGAGTGAGGACCGGAGATGAGTACACCCGACTCTGCTGCCGACTGTGACGGAGTCGATTGTGGTGAGACCGCGGCGACGTAATCGAGCGGTTTGGGCGGAGACGAGAGTCCCACTCCTGCTACCGCCAACAACAATCACTCCGGAAAGTAGTCGAAGTTAAACGAGTCTGAGACCACAGGAACGATGGAGGCAACTTCGGCGGCGGCGGAGCTAACGACGAGGATGACGAATACACGGATGACATCGTTCCAATTCGGCGGGTCTTCAGCATCCGATGCACTATCCCGTCCGGGACCTGCATTCTTCTCATTAGAGAGCCCTCATCACGATATGCTCGACGTTTCTCACGCTGACACTGTCACTCCACGCTGGCTGAGGTGCACAGCACCGCTCGTAACAGCGTTATAGTACTAGTAATTCGCAAGAAGCCAGTCGTCACATACGCAGCCTACTGAGGCGAGCGCTACGTGCGAATTAGAAGTAGGGGAAAGGAAGGCAGCAACGACAACAATGACGACGACGACCGCGGCGGCGGCGGTAGGACGTCGATGATTCTCCTCACTCCTCTAGGTTTCCCTCCGCGACGACGACCACCATAAACAACAACCGATACACCCGGATGGCCATGAAATCCGGCTGATATGCGAGAACGGCTTGATCTGAGTGAGATTCAACGTATTCTCCAGGAAGCGTTCGGTTCCGTGCACGTCAAGTCCTTCAGAGATGCGTACAAGGGAACTACGATGTAAAGTTTCACTGAATCGACGACGACAGAGCTCGAACAGTACAGACGAACTAGACGATGCCGTCGATGATCTTTGCTGAGAGTTCGATCGAGTCGGGCGCTCCCTTCCCTACTTCCTCCCACTCTAAGCGCTCCTTCGGGATCCGTTCCTTCTGCCGGCGGGACGGATTGGCCTGTTTCTCGAAGCACGACTCACAGATGCCTACGCGACAAATCGCCTTGCGTTCGGCGATTCAACAGCCCCGTGCGCCGAACACCGGTGTCCAACTATCGCGGAATCGCGACGTTGATAGAATAATTGTAGAAAGTTGGATTGCGACCTATGTGGAAGACTTCCGCAGGACATGGGATATTCTATACAGAGAATCAAACTCTGATGGAAGAAGCGACTTTTCCCGTGCACAGAGCATCCCTCCACTTGCTTATCCGCTCAATCGATGACTTGCACGTATCGGAGTGATATTGATTTATCCTCAAGTAGAGAGCTAGCAGGAACGAGGAGTAGAGAGAAATCGCTCCCCTTAGCAATCTCGTTAGATAGCAATAAACGAGCTTCCAAATAAAATATCCCTCTCGGGACCGTTCCTGTCTCCGTGTTTCAACGAGGAGAAATTCACCGATGTTCTCGGGGCCAGATTTCGCCATCCAGAAAAATTTTGACGAGCTCTGAAACTTCGGGAGGGGGCATGTTTTGGGATAATTTCTTCTTATAGTATCACACTCAGGTAGGTGAGACCCAGACTCTGTTATTGGATTCCACCGCATTCAGAGAGAACACAAGTTTGTCTGACTCATCAATCGGTGAAGCGAAATTAGGGAGAGCCGGAACGAGGTAAAGAAGACCGTGAGATGATTCATTGCTCATGAATGGAGTCGATAATCTGGGATGTGATCAGGCTTTCTGCTTCGAACTCGAATCCGTTGGAAGCATGTATGTCGTAGGTAGAGTGCCGAAACTCAGCGCCGAATCGCTTTCGCCGATTGAGACTTGGAAGGGAATTCTGTCGATCTGCTGCTCTCGGTCAGCTTGCGGTCTGGAGAATTAGTCGCACCCGCCCGCGATCGCAGTCGCGCCGAGGACCTTCGCAGTGGAGCGCCAGCATTCGGGAGGCGAGGAGCGTTCGGTTGCCATTGCTGTCCGGATGCCGCCCTTCGAGGGTTTCACACGCTGAGCTCCCGGGGGACGTCTCGCGAATTCCCTCCTCAAAGATGGCAGGGGACCTTGGGGATTGTATCGAAGGCATAGAGCGAGCGCGATCTTCCGATCAGAGGAATGTAGGGTTCCTCGAGTCGAGAGGGCTCAAGATTTCGAAATTGCCGCCACTCGGCCGAGGGCTTGATGTTGCACCCGCCCGCTTTTCCATTCACGCCACCATCCTCTGACAGTCGTCCACCCAGCAGAGAGACAGACAGACAGACGGTGCTGCTGCTGGTGGTGTCAGTCAGTAAGTCAGTCAGTCGGTCCAGCCGTCGTTCGGTCAGTAAGTCCTGCAGTCGGTCGTCACGTCAGTCTCACGGGCGGGCCGAGAGAAGGTATTTCGCGAGTGTTTCGGCCATCAGCAGCGGTAGTTCGCCGTGCTCGAGAGTGGTGCTTGAATCGCTCTCACGCTGCTGCTGGTTTGCGAAGAAAGTGAATTACGGTCCATCATCGCCGTCGAACGAGGACCGTACCTTTGTTTCTCTTGAGGAGAATACGGAGTACGGAGAGCGTAACGTCAACTCAGCTTGTCGTCGCTGTCCGGTAGGCTGTCTGCTCCTTAGCTGTCACGGCAGCGACAACGAACTTCGACCACTGCAAGAGCATCCACGCAGAACAGTTTCAGTGACAACTCGGACCGACAACTCTTTGGTTTCATGATGAATCGACCTACGGGACAGAGTCTCAATGACCGGATCACGGCTGCTCGCTACACTCTCGCGGGCCAAGGCCTCGCCAGGGTAGTTTGCAAAGCTACGACCGAGGAATTAATGGCTCCGAAGAAAAAGCATCTCGATTGTGAGTTCATTTAAAGCATTACAAAACACTTCCGACCAAGCTCCGTCCGAGTTGATTGTCGAAGAGCGTCAGAGAGGCATATGTTGAAAGTGGAAGTCTTAAATCATCGACATGCAGCGAGAGGAAGCAGAGGGCCCTATCATGACAAGGGACTCTTCGTTCTTCAAATAGGGCTTGATTCTTCGCTCGAAGGTCTCAGGCTGTCTTCGGTTCCGTTTGGCATGACGTGATAATCCGCCCGGGGAAAACAGCTGTAGACTGCCGAACTAATCCCTCTGATCGAAACTAACTTCATCCTAGTGATCATTCATTTTTTCTTGAGATGATTCCGGAATATCTAGTATTTCCCCCCGGATCTACAATATTCATTCCTCTAATCAGATTCAGTTTCATGGCAGAAGATTATCACGTCGTCCCACATATCTCAATTTCACGGGAGTTTAGTTATTTAGGAAGAAGGGTTCCGAAGAGTCGTAACCTGCGTCCAGCAGTGTGACTTGATGCTCGATATATTATTTCGGAAGATGTTTCGGCTCGGTAGTCAGCTTATCAAGTCACGCGCTGAAAAAACCCGACACAATACGCATCTTGTCCCTGTGTTAATGACCAAATGTGTCGAATGCTGATCCCCGTTGGAGTCTATTCGATGCCAGCAGCATGTCCTCCGCAAGCGACTGTGGACTATCCTCGGAGGTTCTGTCGCTTCGGGAACTCTATATTTGTCTTTATTTACTCGCCCATCCCATAGAATGATTCTCGCCCGGTCCGACGACCTCGTCGATATTTGTTTCAATGCATCGAACATCAAAAGTAGCTTATGCATACATCGGGAGCGCTAGCCGGCTATTGTTTGGCCATTTGCCTGTGGCAACGAACTGACTCTATCTTCACGGTGCTTTTCAGACTTGCTTCATTGCACGAATGAGCCTAATGTCTCGATTCCTCAACTGGCGAACCTTCTCATCGAGCGAACACAGAACGGATCCTGGATAGTGGTTTTCAAATCGCTCGTTACGGTGCATCACCTGATGTGCTATGGGAGTGAACGGTTCACCCAGTACCTCGCCTCGTCAAATTGCACATTCAATTTGGCGACTTTCAACGACAGACTGGGCACGCCACAGGTAAGTTTCCCGTGTGGTCACATCGTCGGAGGACCGATCGCTCTATGGAGGCCCGAACCCGCTTCGTATCGACGTTCATTTCACATGCTCATTCAATCCGCAGGGCACCGAGATGGCGACGTTCATCAGGCGTCATTCTAAATACCTTAACGAGAAAGCCCTCTCATACAGAATGGTGGCGTTTGATTTCTGCAAGGTGAGCAATACTCGAGACCAGACGCTTGGAGGAAGTCGGGCGATGCCGCGACATTCGTGCACTAAGTACTAGAGGGCTCGAGACTGGAAAGTTTCTCGACAGGAGGATCCTTTCTCCCCTGCGGAGAAGCATGCACTCCGCGGTATTCAACTACGGTCAAATTCGAAAATCAAATCCGACTTCGGACTGTCCAGCTTCGCTGAGATGTGAGAGGGAGCGGATGCCATTGAAAACTCCGTTCGAGCTTGGATTAGGCAGAGGAAATCCAATCCCCTGCTCGTCTATTGGGCGTTTCGAGCGATTGGCGGCGTCTCACGGCAGTTCGCTCCGCCAGCACTTCTCAAGACACCTTTCCCGCGCAGCAGGGTCAAACATGCCGTCTATGTTGTTTTCATCTTTCTTGGTGGAACATCTCCAAGCTCGCGGGGGAGAAATTATTCTATGAATGGGAAGTTCCATTCTGGGCGCCATTGGGCTCGCAAATCCATGCTGTCGCGCTCATCCCGATTTAAGACCAAGGTCAGGATCCTTAACCCTAGCTCGAGCGGGGTTTTGTCCTGGGTAAGGCTGTTGGGAAGAGCTTCTCGGATGTGTAGTATCTCTTCCGAATAATCGTTCATCTCGAATTCACAGTCGATCGTGAGTGAAATACTCTAACATGAAAATTACCGGAAAAATCGTAATGCTTTCACTTAGATACGCCATGAGGTCAGTGATGTATCTTGCTTGGGAAGCGCTTCCATGACGCTTCTCTCCTCTTACTCATAGGTGAAGCGCAGCGAGAAGCCTGGCGAGATGAGATCGATGGCCATGGATAAGCTCTTGAAAACAATTCCTGTTCTACAACAACAGCTCGACTACCTCTTGGAATTCGATGCGTCGCCGTCTGACCTCTGCAACTCAGTGATCACTGCGGCATTCATGTTGCTCTTCAAAGTGAGTAGGAGAGTTTGCGTAGAAGAGCATTGCGAAGAGGCGATCGGCAGAACAGCTCCGAGGAGGCCTGCACCATCACGTCTCGATAGGAGCAATTCTCGAATTCCAGGACCTCATCAGGTTATTTACTTGCTACAACGAGGGCATCATCAACATCCTCGGAAAGTATTTCACTCTGCAGAAGAAACAATGCCGAGAGGCACTCGAATGTTACAAGAAGTTTTTGGTCAGAATGGATCGTCTGGCCGAGTTCTTGAAGGTCGCTGAGAATATCGGAATCGACAAAGGGGATATACCAGACCTCACGAAGGTGAGTCAGATCCCTCGCTGACGACCATCTCTACGGCTTTCCGCTGCATGGTGGCCTTGCTTATCGGAGCCTTCCAGATTCACAGCTCGAAGGCAAGATGCGAGGAAAACACGGGTCAGCATTTATCGCCTTCCTCAATTCATTACATGTTTCAATTCTCAGGCTCCGTCGAGTCTTCTGGACGCTCTGGAGCAGCATCTGGCGACGCTCGAGGGGAGGAAATATGTTCCATCTTCTGCGGCACCTCCCAAGTGAGTATCGGATGCACCCAATCGGATTGATTGCCATGCGGAAACCCTCGCTCTGTTTCGATCTTCTTTTGGAGGGAGGGATATGGGTTTTGTCGAGTGAGTTTCCTGATTTTCGCCGATTCGGAGCCTGATCATGAGAGGTTTCCATCGCCAAGTGTCAGCCGTCAGGGGGATTTTCGATTTCGGTTTTGCTCCGCTAATTTTCCTCGGGTCTGGATTTTGTATTTTCCTTGGACCGCTGTTCATCCCTGTCATTTCGTTTATTCGTTCTTTTTTGTTTTTCGCCCTTTTTTTATCAGCGGGAACGCGAACCCTCCGAATGGATTCGCGAATGCAGTTTCCGTCCTATCATCGCAGTCGGCAGCACTAGGGAAAACCCTCTCACAGGATGAGTTTCTTAGGCAGGCAATTCTCGAAGAGGAGAAAGCTCTCAGCAAGTTGAAGGTGAGTTCTGCGATACTTCGAGCTTCTAATAGGATTATTCACCCCTATCTGGGAGGCGGTTCAAGCTTGAACGCTACGCGACATGCCACGTCGCCCCTCTGACCGAAACGATCCTTTCTTTCGAACTACTGCGAGTAACAATTGCTCTCGGAGCGGAGCATGGGACTTCTCGGATCGTACGGACTGAGGAATCCTACGATCGTTTGGGGCCCATAGCTCATAGAGCTTATTGAGGCATGAGATCGGATTTGAAATCGTATCGGCTTCGAATCCAAGATGGCATGTGGGAGACGATTAGATGAACGGATGACTGGATGAGAGCCCGACAGACTAAATTTTCATCCATTAAATTCTTTACACCTTCTATTTCATCGACGTTCCTCTAGGAACAGGAGGTAAGACACTCCATCGGAGTCCCCCGATTTCTGCACGAGTTTCTCCCGATAGTTGAAGCTTCCCTCCTAGACACCCCGAGCCTCACAGTCATTTTCTCTCCGTACGACACGGCCTCCTCTATACGAGCCCCATCGCGACGCAAGATTTCTCCGAAACTATAATTTCTGCGAAATACCACACGAAAACTCATAACGAGATTTATTATTCTTATGTATTTATCTGTATATTCATTGGTTGATGATGATACAATATGCTGTCTCAATTTCGTTTTTCGAACATTCTTCCACGACAGGAAGATTCGACCACCAGCGACTCGAAACCCTTTTTCGAACCGCTCGACGCCTATTTGCCGGCAATCGTAAATATCTCCTAGCATTTTTCATACTCGTCATCCGTATCGTTTAGAAGGCTGTGCAGTCCTTCACGGCGTGAATTTTTCCGTGTGGTCGTCGTCGAACTGGTTGTTGGTCCCGCCGCTCTTTCTGAAGCTTACGGTGATATGTCACATGGATAGTGATGTTCTACGATGTCGTGACATTTCTGCACGTTCCGAGTTATCCCAGTGGATAGAGACACGATTCGTTTTGGTATCAGATTGAAGCATCGCATCCTCTCTGGGCCCTCTCCGTACCAGTATTTATTGCTGTCGCTAATTCTCGCTAAGTCGGAATTGTTCCTCTGCAGCAGCGGCATGTCGCTCAAGGTGCATCCGCCGAAGCATCGAATCCTTTCATGGCGTCCGAACCGAAGAAGTCTGATGATATCATGAACCTTTTCGATGCCCCTCTGCCGGCTCAACAGCCTCCGCCGGTGCCACCCGCACCGACAATGGTGAAGATATATCCGTGCTGAGATGACCTGATCTCTGGAATATCGACGACGACCGTCGTCTTTATTTTGAGCCGCGTGAACATTCTCCGAGCCGCGTGCTTCGAATCATTACAGGGCGCAAATGATCTCATGGGCCTGAATCCATTCGGCGATCCGGGACTCTTCTCCGTACCGACGGGTATCGCGCCGACAAACGCTGTGAATCAGGTGGCAAACGACCTTTTCGGAACCTCAGCAGCTCCAGCTCAGCCTGCGGCTCCATGTACGTCTCCGTAGAGCGTTCGCCTCCCTATTGAGTCGCCCCCTCATACTTGGTTTCGGCCTTAACCCAATTCGTTGCGTTCGCCTTTGTAGGTGCAGTCGTTACTCGATATGAAGCATCTAACAATGCGAAGTGTCAGTATATCAGAGGCTCGTCTGTATTATCAGAAAATGTTATCAGCCTTTTCTCCCCTCTCCGGAACGAGCAACGAGCGTTCCAACACGACTCTAGAAAATCAGGGGAATGTTTCATTGCACTCAGACTTCACAAAGCTAGCTTTTGTGGAGAATCTATTCCCCAGCTCCTCCCTGCTCCTCTTGTTGAGCCGTGTCTCCTCCGGATTATCGAGTCTTTTTGTTCTCCCCGGGGGAAATACACCCAATCTAACGTTCACTTTATTTTCCCTGAAGCTGATTCTATCATCAAGGGAGATCTGGATTCGACCCTCGCCAACCTAGCCTCTAACCTCGATATCAGCCCAGCTCACAGGTGAGTTTCTTTAGAAGGTCCCTCACTGCTATCACTAGACTAGGGCGCTGTCAGAAGCGCTACCGAGCATGATTGTCGCACCGTCCGTTCTGAAGGATACGTGGTGGAGCGCGTGGAAGCGGTCCAGATCCAGAAAAATGTCCAAGTCGGCTCCTCGGATATTCTCTTTCACTCCAGTACTCTTTCAATTGCTCGAAATTTATAGAGATAATAATTTGAAATCAGATCCTCCGCACATTTGGTTCACGCGAAAGTAGCACTGCCTCATTGTTCTTACTTACAGATTCCGCACTCCGTAAGTTATGTTCTTTCGAATGTCGAGCATTTCTCGAAACTCCTCGAAATAAGCGTATCGCACTGCCAGAGAGAGTATAATTTCGGTTATCCATTTCTCTAACTGTCCGCTGACCATCGTTCGGCTCCTTCAACTTCTGGGTCGGGCTGACTTAACCCAAAGAGCATCCTTCCGCCCCCTTGAATTGCCTGAATCCTCCCCCTTCTCCGTCTTTCAATCTAACGATGAGTGTACTCCCTAATCATTCTCAAGCACAAAACCAGGAGCGACTCGTCTGTTCGAAGAAGTCTCCGACTTGTCCTCTTGTATCGAGCGATTCGATCTCAAGTGCATGGCTGTCCCGCTTCGGTTTCGGAGAAGCTTTCGCATGCCAATGCTCCTCGTCGCCTCATGTCGATAATGCTTTGAACCAAGACCTGACCTCTCTGAATCGCATTTGCGTTCTCGAAGAGATTTAATTGACAATGCAACGAATTGCAGGAGCAAACCACAAACGACAACATTGGCTCAAATGTCTTCGGCTAAGCAGATGACAGCGGGAACGGGTGCGGGTTGGAGCCCCGACTTCTCTGGGGCCGCAAACCCGCAACCAGCAGCACCAGCAGCTCCCGGAGCGGGAGATGCGATGATTTTCCCGGACTTGTTCTCGACCAACACGGCTGTTCCTGTGAGCAATCCGTCAACCACTGAGTAGCTTTGATTTCTGCTTGGCAAGCTCCTCCTACATTTTCTGTCTGACTTTCGGTTTGCCTGTTCCGCTTAGCGTTCTAGTTCCGCTTCTCTTGATCCAAGCCCCCGATTTTTGAGGCTTTTCTGTACAAATGGTTTCCTTGTGTTCTGGAGGTTATTGTTTATCATTGATATTCATTTCCCTTTAGGCCCGGCCGCTGAACAACGACCCTTTCGGGAATCTGTAGGTTGTGACATCTTCCTGCGACCGCAGATGGCATTGCAAGTCGGGCAGAAACCCTTCCCCGAAAATGATTTAGTTTTCCATCAACAAACGCCCTCCCGTATGACCATTCATTGCAACTCGCAAGCCCTGTCAAGAATGCAAGTTCGATTGACCGGTGCCTCTTTCGGCTACACCCGATAAGTTCGAGAGTTGATCGATGATGTCATTGATTGATTGGTCGTTGGTTGGCTGGCTAATTTGCCCTGTGATGAATCAATGCTCACATTGACCCATCAAGCGACCGACTGACGAGTCGCATGCCGTTTGGACGATGGGAGAAGGCACGAGGGGACTCGTACCGAAGTTGATCACAAACACCACCAAGAGCATTCTCATATCGAGTATCGGTTCATCGTTTTCGATGCTAAGTTATTATTATATATTGATTCTCCTCTCTGACACGAATGAAACGGTAGATGGGCGGAGTCACGGACGCTTTGCGTCTGAGGAACTCACAGAAGGAGGAAGTGAACTTTGGACGCAAGCGATCCGAAGCCTTTGTTGATGTACAGCGCACCGAGAAGGGAACGTTCATTATAGAATTTTTTCTCTAAACCGTCACCAATTTTTTTATCGACGTGTGCATTATTATGATCATTACTATTATCAAAACTGGATTGAGTGATCACATGAACATTAGATTGGTCCGTTGTACGATTAGTCGAGTAGAAAAGCCTGCAGCGAAGTCGACAGTATTCCTGCCTGTAGGCGATCGCCGCCTCGTGGAGTAGGAAGCCGATAGACAGCAAGATATATTAACTATAACGTGCACCCCGTCCACTGACCTCACTCATCAGTGGACGTTGCTTCGAGAGCTCATACGGGCACGAGAGTTCGAGAGAGAAACCGAATTTATTTATCATCACGGATAGTGCCGCATGTTGTGCATGCTCCGCAATCCGAGTCCGGCATCATTGACGAAGCCATGAGCCATTCTTGTCGTACTTGCGCGGCACGGCGCACGTTCTCTGATTGGTGAAGTGATGCAGGCACCGTGGCGGGCACACGGGTGCTCAGACCAACGGATGATTGTCGACTCTTCGGAAGTCAATTCAGAAACCACCCAGATCACTGAGGCTTACTTTGAACGAATGTTTCAGACCTTGGTTTTCTGGCGGTGATTGATCGGCTGATCCGAGCTTAAGTTCCAGAGCTATTCAGAGAACCTCGTAGAGCGCCAGAGTGTGGATGATGACTTCCGGTTGACGATCTGTTCCCTTCGACCCAGAATGGGGTATAGACGGACTCAGACAAAATTCTTAGAGGAATCCTCGAATTTGAGAAACATCGTTCAAATACCATTTGTTCCAATGATGTGCCTGCATTAGCACCATTGCCAATGACACCCTCATTCCAACACCCGCAATACCGAGTATAATAAGCACGAACCGTGGACGACGGTAGTCCCCGTTTGCGATTCCTGAATGCGCTTGGAAACTTGGGTAGACAACATTCGAAAGCATGCCCGCTATTGGCGATTTTTAGCAGTGGTAGACGCGTCGTGCCGGCGGGAAAAGACACCTCGCTTCCTCCATCTTCAGCCATGGGAGCTGCACCTAGGTCTAAGCTGGTAGCGAGCGAACCGAAGCAAAGACAAACACAGCGTGACCCATCTGTTTACGTCGTAGAATTTGCCAGGGCTCTGAAATCTATCACTGTGACATCACTGTGTGTGGACTGGAACAGTGTGTAATCAGTCAGCGGATAGAGGTGTACTAACTATGGATGAAGTGCAATGTGTTTAAGGAACGATTGACCGAATCGATGACCGAAGAGCCGACGACGAGCCTAGACCAGTCGTCGGTCTTCTCGAAGTCTAGCCGAATAGCTAAATTTATCAGCGTTATCTGCTGAAATCGAATGCCTATCTCGTGGGGAAGCCCGTATCAAGGATCTGGAAGTATATCATCATCGGAATAAAGGACGCAAATTTCACGCGAACCGGAATAAGCTTTTTTCTTCTTTCTATGCTGGGGGTAATGAGCTGCTCCCGGCAGGCCTTATTGTCGCAACGTGTTGCTCACGCAATGGTTGCTACGAGAGAGGGAGCATCCACCCGACGTAGAACTTCGGAAAAAGAGTTGCGGACCGATGTCTAATAAGTTGAGTTTGAGCTCAGCGGGAGCTCGTCCTATGAGGGTGCTACCACAAAGGATGCGGCAATTGGCGAGGGTGCTCCATTGGTTTTTCAAATAGCGATGTTCCGTAGCGCTTCCCGATGTTCGGAGGCTGAAGACTCCCGAAATGGTGTGAATCTTAGGCACGATTCCAGCAATATATATTCGCGCTATGAGTCATGACCAGGTCGCTTATGAGTTCCCGGCGAGCACCCTTCAGATGCAAAATCGAGGAGGAATAGGTCCTCCTTATTTGCATGGGATCTTGACCAGACCTGGGGGAAAGAGAGGACCCCTGGCTCGAGCGACTCGCCCACGAGCCGATAACTAGGTGTGTCGTCCTTCGACAGAGCGTTCGGTTGGCCTCCTCGATTCAATGCCCTCCACTGATCTTGGGAGTGGAGAGACAAAGTTCCATGATATCATTCCATAATCTCGGATCCCGGCGGAAAGTATGGCCGATGTCCTTACGGCTCGGCCCTGTGCACGGAGGACCAAATCATCGCCGAAGTCGCGGAGGCTAAGATCGAAAGAGGCGAAACTTACGTTCCCATCGGATTTCTTCTGGAAAGATCGGCCTTCGAGCTTCTTATCTCTGACATCCCGATTGGGGGCGAGAATAACAAAATGGAACAAAGATCGTTGCTCCTCCCGACTTGAGGCTGAATGTCCGGAAGATGTAGCCGTCCCTCGCGCTCGGAAGTCCTCGCCGCGGAGCGGATCGGTCGGATCTCCTCCACGGCTGCTCTCGACTTGATGGAAGGTTCGAGTAGGTACCTGGAAGTCGCAACTTCACCGCGTAGCTCGGTTATTCACTGTTGAGCACCTTCAATACGATCTGCCCTCCATTGTCAGGGGAATCGGCGGGCTACAGGAGCCGAGCCATCCGGGAGCGAACCCTGACGGGGAACCTTCATGGAATGTAGCCCCGGATCGAGCCGAGTCTCTCCACGAGGACAAGTCACGGACTCGAATGCTCACATTCCGACAACCGAGGCGCTGGCCACTCGACCAGATCGTCGGCCCGAGTATCCGCTGGATCTTTGAATTCAGAAATGGAGGACACCGTCATCAACAGTATGTACACATCAACTCTACGGCATTTCAAGGGTTCCGCCTGCAATATGGCAATATATATCTTGTCTATGCTCCATTTCAGGAGGAATTCCATCAGGGCGGACTCGGAATGTTCGTTCCATGGTCTTCACAAATCCGACGACTACGAACGATTCCAATGGCTTCTGGAGAGTACTCAGGGGCTTCCTCTCTCTGGACGTACAGCTTCGAGCTAGGCTAAGAAACTCCATTTATTCTGAGCATCGGATCGCCCAGACCGCGAATATTTCCCGTCAATGTGATCCTCAGAGGCACGATGATGCGACAGCGGCGGGCGCGAGCAATTTTCGTGGAATCTCCACTGGGAAGCCCGAATTTCCTGTTTGACATCCCCAACATCCAGACCGCAGGGTGAGGATGGAAGTGTGGAACGAAAACCGCTGCTCCTCCGGACTTGGGGCCGAATGTTCGTTCCACGGTTTCGGGATCGATGTTCCTCGAGTCTAGACGTCATGCTTCGCGAAGGCTCGATCATCGCTCTTCGGACTATCAGTCATTGAGGGTTTATATGGGATCGTTTGAAGACAGACTCGTGGTCGAGTGGTCAGCACGTCTGCAGCCTCTCGTGCAGACGTGTGCGCTCCGTGAAGAGCCACTCTTATTCCTGGTATGACGCCGTTCGCTCGAGAGATGGCGTGGGTTCGACGCCTGCTGCCTGTCGAATGTGTTCACGAAATTCCCCCCGGAACAGCCTGCTCTCGGCCTTGATTCGTCGTCGGAGTCAGTTCCTCATCGCTCGTCGGTGATTTCCGGGGCCTCAATATAGAACACATCCCTCCATTCAAGGGCTTTTAGGATTTCGAGAGAAGGCACATCGGCAGAGGAAAATATGAATGCTGTCCTACGAAGAAAATAATGAGACAATACGGACTCGATGGGGCGGTCCGAATGGGCCTTGGGCAGTACCCTTAGGACCATTCTCTGACCCCGGTGACTTCTCTACAGTTTTCGCCTGAATCTTTTAAGATGGTATTGATCGAAGAATTGTGTGATGAGTCGCAAGCTCCGCCAGGCAGACAGGAACCGGAACTGACCAAATTTGAAGTAAATTTTTTTGCGCACCTTCGCCAAATCGGGACCGCGACTTGCCGACTATGAAGGCAGAGCAGTTTCCAGCGTCCTTCGAAGCTCTAAAATCTCTTCGCGAAGTCGGCGAACGAGCGACGGGCACTGAATTCGTTCGACGGCGGATTGACATTCCCCAAGAGCCAAGAGTAGCGATTCCATCAACCTCGAATAGGGGCGGCCTCCCTATCACGTAATCAAATATGATAAAATTTAAGCAAATAATTTATCATTGATAATGATCAAGGGAGGATCGCATACATCACTCAGTTCGATGTTCGGCATTTCCGACGTCCACGTTGTCGCGTACCAGCGGTTCGCCTCCCTGCTCGATGGTGAATGCCCACGCAGAAGACGCGAATGCTGGCTTTCTCGTGTTCTAGGTAGAGCTTGTGGTCAAGCGATTTCCCCCTACTATCCAGTGAGTGCGCAGAATCATTTTTCGTAACTTTTGGATTTATTCGATGTAACAGCACCTACGATCTCAAAATTTTATTCATCGTTTATCGACATTATTTGTATGAGATGAGGGTCGTAGGGCATTCAAGCTCGGAATCGATTCCGCCTTGAATTCGTGGTGTAATCGCGACTCTATCTGCGAGGTTCTCTAGAAATGATGAAGTGCTCAACGTAATATATAGGAGATAGATCTGTCGGTTGCATCTTGATTTCATCATTCGAGGAAGGTAAGGTCGGAAACTCCATCAGCCAATCTCGCAGAGATGATGCGGTCATGGAACATTGTGACAGGTGAGCCTCAGATTCTTCAGAGGGTCACTGTAACTCGTGATCACTTTCTGGTTCGTAAGAGAATCACGCTGGAGGTCTCGTCAGAACTTGATTACTCTGCATTCTGAGGCATGTGACGTTTCGCTCCCCGGTCTCGTCAAATCGTATGTCGCAAAGATGGCTCAGATCGAAATTCCTCTTTTCCATTGACAGCGTAACCTTTCGCCTCGCTGAGAAGACTCCACTTCATCAGTGGGTTTCGACAAGGTCAGGTTTCCGTAGTATCAGAAGTACAAATGTAGTAGGAAAGCCAATCGTCAGCTGATCTTTATCAAACGATGGGTTGGAACGAAAGAACGCTGAGGAGGAATTCAGCATGTTGGGGGAGGGATAGTGATCCCTCGTAGTTCATCTTTTCACGTAATTTTGCCATCCTGGTGTGTAGGCATGGGAAACTCGATTCAAATCTGCCATTCGGAAGTGATCAGAATTTTTTTTCATTGAGGCGGTAAGCGAAGGCACAATTCGGAGGAACCATTCTCGGTCCTCGAATCCCGGGAACGACTGTTCAAGACGGTTCGATAGAGCGTCCACGACTGACAAGCATTCATCGGCGACGAGATATCGAGAAAACCATCTCAAACGCACTATGCCCCCGCCACCAAAGCCGAAGTCAGCGAAAGCTGCGTCTTCCGCAAGCTCTAGCAGGTTGCCTCGCTGGCTATTGATTGTGGTTACGGCAGCGCTCAAGAAGCGAGGAGACCGTGAAGAGTTTCCTCGAGGAGAGAGCAAGAAAGCTTGCCTAGTTGAGGGCATCCGGCGAGCGGACGGTACTGAAGTTGCGTTTTCCGCGGCGACATTTGCGTAGCGATGCCAATCAGCGAAATATGAGTCGGACAATATTACTTGCACCCTCATCAACGAGGAGCGCAACGATCCTTCCTAGATGACTCAACCGAGAAGGATCCTCTCGAAAAATCTAAGATTCATTGTCTTAGTATCACAATAGAGATCAAACGAAGTGAAGCTGGAGAGAGAGGCGCATCGTACGTGTCTCCGGTAAGGCTTAGCTTGCGATAGGAGAGAAGAATTAGTATCACTTCATTCTGCCGGTATCCATCTTTTCACAAATCGTCCTTAGGGTGATGATGATTATGACGATATACGAGTGAGGCGATGAACGATCTGTTTGGTCGAGTCTATCTCATCGGAGTTATTGCTGCTGGCTACGTTCTTTCTGTTTCAACAAATAGTACAACAAGAAATAGGTAGTCTTTACACCAGATATGTGAGCCGTCGAGTCGGAAGAAGAACAGTGTAGACACTTCAAAGGCAGCTTTTGGTCTTTTCTTTCGATTTTTAGACTACCGATTTTCTTCCTAAAGCTGCGTTGGCGTCCTGATGTATCTGATCCGGAGTGAACTCGGATCCTGCCGAAGTGCGGCCGCAGTGGTGGACACCCCGTTCCTCTTCCTGACGATTGTATGTTCCGGTGGTTTTGGAAAAGTTTCTGGCTTCTAGTCTTTGAGCAGCTTCTGGGCGCGCTGGTTGGCAGCGCTGATCCTCGACTCGTTTGATGTACCCTGAGGTAAGGTGGGATGTTAGTAGAAAGGGTTAGACTTAAAGAATGAAGAAGGGGACAAGAATAGCTGGACGAACGGATCACTCGACCCGGCTAAGGGATTTAGGTGGAACGGGTGGGCTCCCCGTTGTATTCCTCGATCCGAGTCTCACATGTTGCTTTAGTTTCTGCAGTGCGGTCTCCGATTGAATCAGAATGAAGTCGGGGAAAATAAATGGAAACAGCGGAAGCTGCTGGAAACTAATTCTTGCTAAGCTGCCAATTCCACATGCCAGCGTCGAGCTTCGTCGAGGAGCCTTATCTCGCAGCCGCTGCCACGAGTTTCACAAGCCTCTCCGCGATTCTCACAAAAAACGAGGACCCTCCATGTCTTGGGATTGCTTCCGTGTGATCATATTTTTTCTCGGGTATTTTGAATCCGAGATCTGATCGGCACATATTGAAGAGAATGCTTGTGAGGGCGATGTAGAAGAGAGAACTATGACGACGTGTGCTCCTAGTGAGAGCGGCGCCGAAAAAGCATCGCCTCTGATTGGAACGCCGTCGCCATTCTCATTCGGTCATCATACATTTATACATACATACATGTATCTGACGCAATCATTATTGTTCAAAAAGGCGGGGTCCGATCCCTGAACGCACCGAAGACTCTCCTCCTGCTTCCCGCGTCTGAGTCTCCGCATCATGATCTCGATGCGGGTCCGCTCACTCTGCACTCACTTTCATTTGCGGTGTTCCGATCTACGATTATCTCGGAGGGTAATATCAAGCGGAGCTCCCGGCATGCAGTGGAAGCGGTGCTCCGGTCCTTCCTGAATAGCTTTTTGTAGCTAGCTGATAAGTGATATCGTGATATTTGGCATAAAATACTCAATATGCGATCATCTGAGCGAAGCAGTGAACGTCGTCGTGTGCATAGAATGTGAAAGTCGAGCGAACGAACACTCGCCCCTCAGATGAATGGAGGATTCCAAGCGAAGACTGTCGAAGACTGATGTCGAAGAAAAAACGAGCAACGTCCTTCATCACGTAACGTTAGAAGCGATTTATTCCAAATCACAGAAAAGAGGGGGAAAATTCGTTGATATTCAGTGATAGGTCAACTAAGAGTCCCGACTTATTTCTGCATCATATGTTAAGTACAAAAAGAGAAACGAATAGGATAGAAGTCTCGGTTTTGGCTTGAAGCGAGCGAAACTAGGTGGCCGTCCCATATCCTAGTTTTCACTCGAGGCTCTGCGGCGCACAGCCGGAGCATACCGAATAGAAAGGGTGAAAACCCATGATCTGAGAGGGTTCCTCTGTGTATGACAGCGAATTCACAAAAATAAATATATATATAGAAGTACTGACATCGGGAAGCTCGTAGAACTCCCATGAGACCCCCTCCCCCGCCTGATGATCGCGGCCTGGATTCTCGATAAGTTGAAAGGGAATATCAGTTCCCCTTCAAACTTGATAGAGGGTCCCAGTCAGTATTTTCGAATTAGGACCCGATCAACGTGAAATCACAAACGAACACGTCGGGACTCAGCGTCGAACGCAACCGCTCATGCTATATTCGATCGAAGTCGTAGTCGTCCCCGATTTATCCTCCTACATACATACGCTTTCCCTATCTAATTGGCGAAACTCATCGAATAGACCCTCCGTAGAGAGGCCGCGAGGGGAGACGACGACGATGATTTGAGAGAGGGAATAAAGAAGCCGCGATCGCCGTGAACGAACAGGACGAATCCACCCGAAATACTTCAGGACTCCATCACAGGGCGCCACAACAAACAGGACAACGTTTTCTCTTTCCATGCGCGAGAAAGTTCTCGATAGAAGGAGATTATTGCTTCGATAATTGAGTTCGTAATCAGTCTTCGCAGGCGTCGCGTCCGCCATCAGAAGACCATGCATCAGGGTCAGCGAAGCTTTTGCGATTCTCGACTGGCTAAGCGAATCCCTCAGCACCTCTCAACGGGGGAGCGTCCCGGTCACGGCGTGCTCCGAAGTCCCACATCTCCGTCCTATATATTTTCCCGTCTACGTTGTATTCACCGATAGTACGACGACGATGACGACGACAGCTTATCGACTAAGCGACCCGGCAAAAACACCCGGCGAAACCGCGACCAAAGCCGTTGGTTCGCACAGTTCGATTAACGAACTCGTAGAAGAACGATATGTTCCAACAATTTCTTGCTGTCTCCCAATACTCTGCATACATAAACACCGTCACGTGTGGCATCGCTGGCTGGTAAAAATAAAAGTCATCTTTCCCTGTCATCCCAGAATGTTTTTCTCCCTGTCATTTCGAGGAGGAACTGGGCACCTCGTATTTCCTAGGTCTAATCCTCACGATCCGATTGTGAGCTACATGTATAGTACGGATCACCTATCGTAAATCTATGTCCAAGTGCTCTGCAATATTTTCGACATGGAAACAAAATCCGTCTTAGTCCGACCGGCTATTCGAAATTGTTCAAAACTGCTGCGGCTGCTGCACACGCTGCGAATCGGGTGCCTGATAACATGCATATTTTAAGAAAACTGCATAATTTCCTCTCTGAACGTGCCCATTGCTTTCCTGAGGCTTGCGGAAGAAGCCGAAAAAAAACAGCTCAACAATTACACCCGAATGGCGAATTCTCGGGTAGAGTATAACGGCGGCGGGTACGCGAATAGCCAGGAATTCTGATCATGCCGCGTCTCATGGATCGAAGATCACCGATGGGAACTCGAAATATGAGCACGGTATTCTCATTTTTTCGTCGATTTCCGGTACACTGCGTGCGAATGGATTAAGGAATGGGGAGTTTATTTGCAGCGAGGTCTGCGAGCGAGGAGCTCGAAAATTTCTCCATGAAAGATTAGCCCTAAATTCCGAAGACATGCTCCTGGGTCATCTCGAATCGGGGCGTAATTTAGAAACGAGGGTTTTCCCCTGAGAGCGCTGATGAAATATCTGACTTGAGCCGATCATTCAATTTCTCTGCGGAGAGCAATGATAGAACGCCAAGGCAGCGATTCGCTTTCGAATCCTTCTGTCTTCCGACGGTGTCGTGGAATTCCAAGTCCTGAGTTGGTGAGATTTTCAGTGTTGCGCCATGCCATTCCAAAAAGCTCAAACTGAATATAGCGTTGCGCGGAGGGCGGTCGAATCAAGTCTGTTTCGGGGCAATTTGCGAAAAGAAGTTCTCTTGGGTAAGGTCTCGGAGGGGTCTTGGGCCTTGTAGATATCAGATGAGTCTTTAAGAACTCAGCAGCTTCGAGGTCTTCTCCTGCGCCACCTTGACCCTCATATTGACCGAGTCCGCCTATGAAAAAAGAGTGAAGATATTTCTTAGCTCGGTTCGACGACGGCTCGCGGATCCTGTTCCAATTCAGAGCTTTCAGTGAACAGACAGCTAGGTGAGAGCATAGATTCCTCTACGGAGATTTTCAAGTCTAGATCCCTAGGCTCCGGAGAGCACGGCTCACTGAAGAACCGACGAAGATGGTCAGATCTTCCAGGCACATGACCAACGGACCATGGTACGATGCGGGGGTACGACGACATCAACATTGGGGACACACCGTAGCATTAGTCATGATGTCATGATGCACTCAACCTGAGTGTGAAATGGGCACCCACACGCCATTCAGGGACGGTAGGCTGGTCGTCCCATCGAGTTAGTCAGAGGGGAGGAATGGGAAGAAAGTGAACTCAGGAAGAACACCGAGCAGAGGCCCCCACCGTTCTCTTCACCGCACTAATTATTTCAACTCGGTTCCAAAATGAAAACCAAGCGCTTCGCCATAGATGAACCTTCAACCTCCATTCACACGGGCCGGTCCGGTTGAAGGTCAGAGCATGCAATGAAAGATGCCAGACGATGATTACCGGAAGCATGCGAAGAAGGAAAGTAACTCCTTGAACACCCCAAGCCCCGAATAACCGAAGCGAGATTTATAATCAGAAACAGGCGAGAGTGAAAAGAACAAGCTCCATTCTGATCGAGGAAAGACCACACCTGAGAAGATTGTTGGTGGTAGTAGGATACGTTGCTGGTAAAGGTGAACTTATGCATTCGATTGAGGACTTCAACTGGGGTTAGTTGGTTGGTCGGTTGGATGAATGGACTCACAGACACACACGCTTAGTGAAGGGGTACACAGACAAACATATAGACGGATAATTCCGTTCGAGAATGACGGCACGACGTAGAAGACGCCGACGTGTGCGAATACAGATGCACCACGGACGGGGAGGAGGACGAGGATACACGCAAAGGTCTCGGTTTGTCGACACGGTGAATGATACGACACGTAGTGACGACATTCCTGCTCTGATTCTTTGATGGGGATCACGCTTACCTTTTGATTTATTCTATCAATCTGGTGGTTCTGCGACTCAATCTCGCTTCCCATGTCGATAGCCATATTGCGAAGATTGCCGATCATAGTCGACACTTGTCCCATGTTATCCTCCATCTCTTTCTCTCTATCGTCGTTGGTTATTCTGGAAGGTCGATCAGAGCTCGTCAAAAGGATGTAATTGTTCCTTTCCGTCTCCCTCGGCTTCCCGGCTCGGACTTCTCCCGAGATTATCAATACATCCGAAATCTATTCGTAGTTCCCGCTTTCATGAGCTTATCCAGTGCGCGAACAGAGATTGTCCTAGGAATAGCCAGGATTCGGTCATTTTTTGAAGGACCCAGCCTCCATCAAACTAGCCCCCGATAAGGTTCACTCGAAGGTCGGCGACTTTCGAGGTGAAAGTCTGCGCGGGACGGCGCCTCCCCTCTCGGACAAGCTGAAAATCTTGAGAACCCACCCCTCAGCCCTCCTGGCCGCCGAGAGTCCCGGCGGAAAGGTCGCGTCTAATTAAGTCGTGAACTCCCGAGCAATCAGGGAATAAAAACACCTTCTGACGTAGATACACTCACTTGGCGATGTATCCTGAAGTAGGTCCCGTTCCATTGCGGTCGTCCATGACGCGGGCTGGCTGGCCGTTCACTACCTTGCCGTCCTCGTTTTTATTCCAAGTGCTGGCATCCTCCTTGAACTCTTTACCCCTGGGAAGGAGATATGCAGATCACATGAAATCACCGGGATCGACCAGCAAAGACCCGTCGTCCTTTCGATAGGATGGTCTTGGACCGCGCCGCTTCCGACTCTTCCGCGAGAGCACAAGCAGAGCTCGGATGGTGTGGAGAAATATAATGCCATAATATTTGAGTAAGCCCTGCGAAAAACCCAACCGGACGTATGCAGCCGACGCTCATTCAAGAGGAGTTTGTCGCAGCGAAACGACGCGACGGTTTATTCTCTTCGTGATACTGGAATTCTTTCACAAGGCGGATGACGTTTCGAAAACTTCGCGTAAAGGTCAGCAGGTATTGCGATTCGGGCGAGCTTCCCCCACCAATTGATTTCGAGCAAATTTTAGACTCGGTCCGACAGGCGAGGCCCGAGGCAAAATATCGCTTTCGAGCTCCACTCGGTTCTATTCAGAGTTGGAGAATAGAGATGGTCTGTGAATTCCCTCACAGGTGAACATCTCTCGTGAAGCATGTAGCTAGTTCCCAACTGTGCCTGCTCTCAAAGAATGATAAAGTTCGCCCTGAAAGTTTCGCAGAACAGGCAGCTCAGTTGTGACCGACGTTCTCGGGGAACTCCGCAAGTTTCGCAAATGCTATCTCTTTCATCCTCTGGTGCAACGTCCAAGTGTTTTCGACGCTACGAAATTGCGGGCATGCACGCTCCTCGCTCGTAATGTCCTGAGCTCGGTTTTACCGTTGCTCGCGTCCGACTCCATTGAGTGAGCCTCAAATCGGAGGAACGTGTCTCACGGTATATCTCGATCGTCGACAGGGAAAGTTCATTGTCGACCCAGAGCTCGGGCGAGATCCTTCTTCTCGACAATATCCACGAGAGGTCCGCGTGCTTTCCCGCATGAACCTCATCCTCGAAATGATCGCAGCCGCGGGAACGCGAGGGGGAAGAACGGAACCGCTGAGATTCCGTTGCGCCCCCACCCGATCCATCGCTCGCTCCCCGCTGACTTGTCTGACCTTGACGTGCACCGCAAGATTAATCAGAGGAAAGAATTCAAACTCACTTTTGACAGGGGCAAACACAGATACCACAGCATTTTTCCATTCCAGTCAAATTTTTCTCGGCTTCCTTCATGTCGGCGTTGATCTTGTCCATATCTTCTTCGATCCGGTCGAGTTGCTCTGGAAGAAAGGCGATTTCTTCATATTTGTCCGTACTTACTCCTGCCAGGGACGCCGGCAACTCGAGTTTATTATTTGCGTTTCAGTTCGATTCCCCGGCGAGGTCATACTCGCAAAAGAATTCCGCATCGCACTTCCGGTGTTCGACACATTGACAATCCCGTTGATGGATTGGAGTAATACCTCTATACGGAGCTTCCATCAGTTCAATAAGGTGGAGGCGGTCCCAAGGGCCTCTCCGAATCACTTCGAGTACCATTTTCATTCTTAGGGTGGCTCGAAATGGGCCTCGGGAGTTATTGGAAGAATTCCCTCCCTGCTCGAAGGTTCTCGAGCGGCTGAAGCCGATCTTGAAGAGGATAGAGTTTTGCCCGCAATCCAAATCGAAGAATTCCGGGAGAAACACGATCAATCGGAAAAGTTCACCGAACAGCTTACTCCGAAGGAGAGGAACAAACGCTACATTCCGTCCTCGGGAATGAGTTCCACGGATTTATGGTTCAACCTCCGGCCAGGGCTGCCGTCGGAGAATCAGAAATCGTACGTATTCGAGTGAATGTCAAAGTTGTGACAGATAAGTCCTCGCGGACTTGGACCACCGAGAGGAAACATGATCGGTATCACCCGCCCTCAAGAGAAGCAATGAGACTGATGCGAAGCCGTGGATCACAGGAACTGAACGTTCTCGACGGGGCCCGAGCAAACCCTATGATTGAAGCGCCGAGGACCTCATCCCTTGCCTCAAGTCGCCGGACCAGATGCACCGCTTCCAAAGTCGTGGTCGAGCAAGCGGCCTGAGGCCATGTTTCGAATTTTGTTGGCAAGATATTCCTGCTCGGCTATTTCCCGGGTGAAAACTCAACAGTCCTGTTTGAACAGATCACTGACACGGACCTCGCTCACTCGGGTTTCATGAAAAATCTAAGGACTCATCTCGCGATGAGGAGAGCAGTGAGCAGCTCGAGGGGAGCTGCCTGCATGGCGGCTCGAGGTACGCAAGTCAAGCTCATAATCAGCCTGATTGCGACAATCAGTGGAGAATCTCCCCCGGGCGTCCTTGAGCGGATGGTCGCTGCTGTGAGCAATCTGTTCCTGTATCGCGCTTGCCAGCGGGTCCCGTTGTGACCGCGTGGCAATCAAATCTTGCGAAATTCGAATCCTACCGGAGCGCGGGAGCCTCGCCCACATGAAGTATCGCAACACCTGTTCTCACGCGGAGTCGGCGCTCAGCATGGCCTCACGCATTGGATGAGAGGAATTGGAACCGGCGACACGCAAACGCGTGGCTGAACGTCCGGCTGAAGAATCATGAGAAGCTTCCTCCCCGAAGACATAGCTCCGCGCGCTCGGTGCCCGAACAGGAAATCTCGGTGATGCCGGGAGAACTTCGCAGCTGGACCCATATTTGCGGAATTCATCCGACGTGGCTTCGAGCGACGTAAATCATCCCTAGTGAATAATGGAAAGTAATTCTTGTGGGCAGCATCGAGCTGCTACAGGTTCTTTGGATGATGGCTGCAGAGTATTTCTTGTTTTTTCCAAATCAAGCTCTGTGACCGAGACAAATGGGTCTGGGGAATCATCGCGAGATGAAGCGTGAAGGCTCGGAAGCTCCCGGAACAACATACGGCGACCACAGAGCCGCGCGGAACGAGGATGGAGACCCCTATCCTCGCTGCTCCGCTCCGGAGCCGAGAATGATTCACGCGTATTTCGTGTACCTGCAACAGAATTTCCATAACCCACGCTGGGTGATCGAGAGCGTCTCGAATCGAATCGTAGAGAAGCAGCTGCCTGAATCAGAGCAGCGATCGACGCATCCGCCCAAATCAGGGCCGCTAGCAGTAGACGGTTTCGCGCGGACGGTTCGCGCCTAAAATCCCTCCCCTAAACCGAAATATGTATACCTATCAAGTGGAGATAGCCTCGGATGTTAGTCGAACGTGAGGGAGGAAAACTCCGGAAATCCTCATGAAATTCGGATCCGGCTGCACAATCCCCTCTCTTGCAAACGAGGTTTGAAGTACACGGATCCTCGAGAAAAAACGAGCAAACTCAGCTGCCTGTCGGAGGCCGTTCTCTGTGGACCAAGATCACCTCCTGCCCACGCAGAAGATGGTTCCGCCCACGAGTAGTTCTCAGAGTGCGGGATTCTCCGTGAATGAAAATTCCCATTCAGGTGCAAATGGGCTGCTTTGATAACGGCAGCGAGCTATTTATGAGCACACAAGTCAGAAATCAGTGAGTGATCTCTCGAGTGGGACCATTCCCATATAGACCAATGGGCAGTCCGAGCGACGGCGCGGCGCAAGCGTCGCGTCTTATGAGCCAGAATTTGCCGAAACTTCCGTCAACGATTGGAACCGTCGTTGTCCCGTCAGTTTTGAAATTCTGAGGATGTCTGGCGCTCACGTCGGTCAGGTAGAAACAAATGTGAAGTCTGTCCTCGCTCAAACCAGGAATTCATCTTCGACTCTATTCAGCTCCTACCGAGCCTGAAAGCGAGAGGAAGTCCTAAATTTTGGAGCCTCGAAACACGGTGCGAGGATACGACTGAGATCTGCATCCTATCCGAAAAAGTGATCTATTCGAGGATTCCGGGGATGCTCCAACTCTTTGCTCATGTGGAGCTTCGCGTTCGTCTCGGTCCAATACTTCTCGCTTCTGAAGGATTGCCTATGTCCTATGTCCCAACACGAGAATTCAAGCTCTAGTGGCAAGCCTCTGTTGGAGGTCCGAGTTACGTTGTCGGGTGAGTTCTGCATGCAGAATCAAAGCAGATCACGGTGAATTATTCCGGAATACGAACACATTCTCCTCGGATTAAATATTGTGGAAGAATCAGAGCTTCCATAAGCGGGTCGCGACAGCTCACAGCGTCGACCTGTGCGGACTGTTGGTGACCGATGAGAGGAGCGACCCCAACTTGAGGCCGAATCGGGATTGGCTGTCGTTCTGCTCATGACAGAACCCCAGGAAAGCGGTCCAGAGCTTCGATCCCACGTCGAAAACGGGAGCCGAAGGGATCCGAAGGGAAAGTACTTTGAACACCTGACACGAGTTTCATGTTTCCAGGAACACTCTCATACGGCCTCCCACGTCAGGCGCGGAATTCTGGCGAGTTGTTCCAATCTCAGGCTCTGAGCAAAACAGATGTCATTGAACCGTTCTCGACTGGAAGAGAAATCCGTCGATGCTCGTATTCCTTTGTTGTAAGGCGAATTCGTTCCTGGAGGGAGCCGTCACGGAAACCCTGACATCCGCCCCGCCACCAGATGGAGAAAACGGCACTAGCGGCGGCGCGGCGTCAGACTAGAAGAATTGCTCGCGGTCACGACTCATAGCGGGATGTTTCCGCAGTTCCCTCTGAATTCCCTGGAAATAACTCAAACTCACCTCCTTGTTCGTCGAGAGCCACAAGTGTTCGAATGCCGGCTTCTTTGCTCTGGAAATTAGTGAGGGTAGGATTAGTATCAAGACAGTTCTCCGGGAATTCTCGTCAGAATCCAGCATATCCACGACCGGATGAGCAGACGGCCGCTGAGGAATTCATCGGAATGCTTCCGTCGAGAACCCTATCTGAATTAAAAGGTATATGTGATAAACTGCCCCGAGGTTCTGACGTCCCGAATTCAGGCAGTGTCCTCGAGATCGAAAATTCGGCAATGGGTGACACGAAGGAAAGGAGCTTCGCGACACTGCCGGGTCGCTGCATGATGAACTCGGAGTTCTTCCGGTGTCGAGCTCCGCACAGACACCCATCTCTATTCCGGAGGGAGTGCGACGATGGCTGCTCTAGCATAAAACCTAATGGATTTACGAGCTAAAGAGAAGCGCTGAGCTACAACATGGAACGAAAACAATACGGAAAGATGAAGAGATATCACAGCCAGCGAAGCGAGCATAGAGCTGGGCGGGGCAAGACGATTCTCGCCATGCCGGCTCAGGTGAAGATTTCGGCGAGAATTACCCCTTGAAACCTCGGGGAAGCTGAGGGATCACTATCCGAATCCGAGGCCTTCTCGAGGAATACCACGGAAACCAGGAATCGACAATGTTCGTTCATAAGATATTATCCGGGAGAAATCGACCAGTCTGACCCGAAACAATGGGTGATAGCCGCTCTCACCAACGCAAGGGGCTGGAACAGCCTCCCCGATAACCCCCCGGCCATCAATGAGCGATGAGGCTCGGAGAGGCTCTTGGTCTGCATCTGCAGGAAGTTCTCGGTTGAGAAGTGGAATATTTCATCATGGGTCATCAAGGACTCACCTTGCAGAACCAGAGTTTACTCGAGTCTCTTTCCGATAGAGCCGAGATGGCTCAAGAATTCTTCTGCTTTTCGGACCGGCCTCACAGCCGAATTTCAACGTCCCCGGCACTCAGCAAAAGAAATGCACCGAGATATTGGAAAAGCGGAAGAGCCTCTGAGGACAGATCCCGCTAATAGAAGTGCCCGACTGTACATATTACGACTGCGACCTGCTCTTTTCGCCGGGAGCGAGGTTCGAACCCTCCCTGACGGAAATATTCGACGAAAGCCGCTGCTGAGAACCTTGCTCCCGCTCGACCATCGTATGTGCGAGGAAGGGGTTCGCCTATTATGCGGTCGATTGCATCAAGGCTCCTTCCTGACCATGTTCGCCCCCGGCTCCCCGTCTAACGTAGCAACAGGATTAATCTGGTCAGACTCACTCCACGCGACACCCATATAGAGGAAAAGTGGGGAAATTGGGGCCATGGGTCAAGGTAAACGACTCGCATAAAGCTAAGCGAAGTCAGGACCATCTGACAAAGAGATCTGATGACCAGAGTCATTCGTTCATCCTACGCAAGACTCCCCGAGCGCATCTCTTAATAATTATTAAGATTATAATCTATCACAAAATAAAGGAATCCCAACTATCGCAGACAGCAGGCTCTCGAGCTGTCTGAGACCAGCTCACATTCGAATGACTTTCGACAGGGAAGCGCACCGAGGCTCGAGGTTCCATCAGCAGGACCTCGGTTTTTCCGAGATCCGATTTGGGAGAAATTATCTTGTCTCCCACAGTCGGTACTCCTGTGACTTATTTGTCGAGGCAAGCGAAACGTTCTGCTGTATCTCAGCACAGTCTTCGGAAATTCGGGAATCGGAGATGCCCCTTCGATTCGAAGCAATCTCCTCCTCCGGGCGCTCGCGCTCCCGCCCGCACCGGATGCTAAAGGATTCATGACCAGCGGTAAGTACGGAAAGTTTCAGCTTTAAGGCTTCCCCGCTTCTGGAACCTGGATCCCACACATCCCGTTTGTTCGCCGGCTGATACCTCTCATGGCTTCATGTCATGGAGCATATTTCCGATTCGCCATGGATCGGGCATCCGGGGGATTTCCAAGCGCCACCGGGAAATAATTCGTTTCCGATCATCCGCTCGGGAAAAAACCAAAACCTCTAGCATCGGAAATCTTTGGAGAATCCTCTCTGAGTGAGAGTTATCTGAGCGGACTCTCCGCAGCTGCAAATCCTGTATCTGCGCCCAGCGAAGAGCCCTGAGATCTCACTCGGTTGCTACGGCAAAAAGTTCGGATCCTACACGATACGATGCTTACGCTGGTGGCAGCGAGAAGGAGTCTGATAGAAATTCAGCATAAATAGGCTTTCAAGCCTGACGAACGGAGAGAGATATGGAGCTTGCCCCAGAAGCCGAGGTATGTAAATGAGCTTCGGGAAGCATCTCATCAAAGAGTGGCTCACTGCTGGTGGGGAATGCTCTCGGGTATGGCTGGGTACCTCCTATGTGTCCTGGGGAAACGAATTCAAGAGGTGCGAAAGAGCACAAACAATTCAGGGATTTCCTTCGGAATTTCCTAGTCAGACATAGCGGTCAATGGTCCATTCCCTCCGCCTAGCTCCCGACTCCCTCACTCATCCAGAAGTCTGAGCGCCAGTCTAAGGCGGGCGAAACAATAGCTCTAGTCCGGAGGCGAACATGATTTGAAATCCCGGGACTTCTTCCCCCAGCGTACAGCTTCGATCTGTTTCAAATGTCGGCGGATTTCGATGGCGCTCGACCATTTCCTCACTACGACCACCCCTCGATCGAGCGTGTCCAGCAATCGTTTGTATAAGGAGCCCTCCAACAATGGGACTTCGAATCCGAGCGAGACCGCCTGCCAAGTCTTGAATATACGGGGGGAGCACTTCAGCCGAACGGATGAGACCACGCAACGAGTTTACGTGTGGTCAGAATAATCATTGTCGGAGTCCCGATCAGGCGTCCTCGAACGAAATCCCGCACTCGTTCCAATCTGACCGCATCAGATGCCGCTCTCTCGAGTAGATCCTGGAATAACTAGTCAGCGACGCTGTCCTCGCATGGACATCGTTTAGATCGGAGCTCGTGACGATTTCATGAGCCGAAGCAGGAATATCTAAACGCGTTCCGATTGTGGAGTCTGGCAGGGCTGATATCTTCGTAATGAGCAATCTGCATAGGGCTGGATTGTTGCTCTTTCTCTAGAATCTCTTCGTGAAGGAGAGGGAGCAGCGGCAGCAGCAGCAGCTTGTAATAACTGCTTCTTTCGAGAGCTAATATCTTCCCTGATTTTTCCCCACTACTTAATGTCCCTGAGGGCAACTACTAATTAGGACTTGTATTGATTAGATATTTTTCCGAGACTCACCTCGTCGCATAGTGCGAGCATGCGCCGTGTCGACTCGAGAGACTGCAAAGAAAAACACGAAGTTAGACTCAGGATGACGAGATCGGGCTCGGAAAAGTTCGTCGATTGAGATCTGGGGTACGAGCTAATGCCAGAGTTTCTCCGTCGGACGCTTATTTCACTCGAGATTCGTTCGGGAGCGATCGCTAGAAGGGCAGCTGTGGTTCCCTTGAGATGACCGGAAGTGTGCGGTCTGCGGAAGATCCTCAGCGTCTGGTTCTATCGTCCAGGGAGAAGATATCGGATAAGTATACCCATATCTATTCCATTCGCCCTCCGATCCATCCGCAGTCGTGAACATCTCCTTGGATATTACAATGCAGATATTCCATCGTCGATAGCTTCCCTTCGACACTGTTTTCAGAAGTTATCGAAATGCTAATGCGGCTAAGGAAAATTTTGCAGGGCGAACCCAGCTCCAAAAACTAATCCCTCCAGGAACGTGCGAAACATTGGATGGAATGTCGATTCCGCTCCTCCGATCATTTCACGCGATTGTGAAGCTCTTTTGAGGGGAGCCGGCTGTGGATGTTCCGTTGCCAAAAAACTCCGAAACTTTGACATACAGCGTCCTCTTGTCGAGGACCAGGAATACGCTCCGATAACGTCGAGCCGGAGACCGGGTGGAGAATACACTGCCTCGAGCAGCATCTGATGAAACTGATCCAATTTCCCTTTCCGAAATTCGGTTGAAAAAGCATGCAGGACAGCGGGAGCTTCTCGTCGGTAATCCGCAATGCCGGAATTCTTTGAGGGGTCTGTTCTTCGCTTCTCTTTTCACCAGACGGTAGACGGGACCCGGAACGGCGATGGGAGCGATTGCCCCGGTGAGTCGGGGGAGTTTCCAATCGGCCGAGAGATCGATTCGCAGGAGAAATCTAACGTGAGCTCTGCCTCCTATGATTAGGAAGAAGTCAATTTAGGCATCGCTCCGTTCAGCAGGAAACCAGCAATGCTCTCTCCAGCCGGAGATAGACCTCTGAAGGGTGATCGAGTAAATATACTCGAATAGGAACCGCAAACTCGAAACGTCATGCCTCGCTTGGCATTGCTCCAGAGCAGAGCTGCTTGCGTCTCTGTTCCAAGTCAATGGAATCGGAAGGATTCTACCTCGACGAGACTACCTGAATAGGAGTTGGGTACTTCTTTTGCTGGGGCCCCGAGTAATCCCGAATTGAAAGCTCCCGCAGAGTTTGCCGCCAGCTTATAGCTTGGAGGAAGGGGAGCGAAAACGTCAGGGGAGTCGTGGGGGAATCCCCAAGTCTACGAACCGGATGTGCGGAACAGAAAACGAGTACCTACATTCTCCTCTCGAACGTGATGACGACTGTTCGCGCCAGCCGCGATTTATTATTCCGATCGTTCTTGAGACGCGACTTTCGAGAATGCATTCTCTGTGGGAGTCTGTAAGTCTGCACGACCTCAGTGTCGGTCTTTTTCTAGCGGATCCAGCTGCTCCCGTGCTCGAAAAACTCCGCGTTCCCGGGGCCGAGCTTTCTATGCGCAATGTGAAAACCGATTTTTTTGACACGGTGAGCTCTCGAGTCCAACAAGTTTGAGCCCAGATCAGAAAACGCCTTCGGACGAGAGACGGAGCTTGTCGGTACTCGCGGGTGCCCACCCGGCTTCCTCCGCCTCCCGAGCGCCCGTCTGAGAAAACCCCCTCTGAGAAAGTTAGCAGTGCATCCATTGCTGACAAGCCAGGTCCATTCCAGCACGTTGGCTTCCACCGAATCCGCAGAACACTCACTATGTCTATCCATTCTCGTTTCGAGGGAGCACGGCCGGGGGAAAGAGCTCTGCGTAGTCGGAAACGATCGCCATGCGACGCATCGATTGGGCTCGAATCATTGCTTCCCTCTTCGTTCCCTCATCCGAACGATACTTGAGAGATCACGTTCCCCCAAGGCGCTCCGTATTCATCTCCCAAATTGTATTAGGCATCCATGAGGGGAAGAGAAAGGCTCGGGAAATTCCATGCTCTGTGTCTCTTGGCCAGTGTGCCTCACCCTCGCTCTGACCCAGCCTAGGAGGCGTCCTCACTCCTGATAGCATGACGTCTCACGCCTCTCATTGAGAAAACAGTCACCACCGCAGCCTGACAGCCAGACTGTAAATCAAGCGGCCTAGCCTGCGAGTGAGCAAGCAACCCAATTAAGTGAAGACATGAGAAAGCTCTGACGTCAAAGAGTCTAGCATCAAGACTCGGGACTCTATGCTGCCCTGGGCTTAGGACATTTCCTGCTCCTGCCCAACGGGATCCAACACAAGTCCCTTCGAATATTAGCCCGTCCTTTTCTCCCCAACTTCCTCTAGAGCGCCCAATCGACGTCCGGCTTCAGACTCCGTGGGTCGAAATCCCATGCATGCGGCGCACGTTGTCAATCGCTCCGGCAAGATGCGGTTCTGAAACTTCATGAACGCAGCGGGAGCTTGAGTGGAACTTTGGGATAATTCCATGGATCCGCGGCCACGGGACTCTTAAAGACTAAAAAACTCCTTTTGTGTCATTCAATCATATATCATGATGAGCTCTCGTGTCCTGGTTCCGTTGCTCAACTCCTTGGTTCCGTACAAGAGGGGAGGGCCCGACAAAAGAGGAAAAAACTCGCTTCCCTCCGATTGCCGACGTTCGTCAAGCTCACGGGTAACGCTCTAGCCCCTCGCTTCATCCCTGTCATATGAAGGTGAATGTCCCCCCCTCGCAAGGCTTCATCCGCATCCGCGTGGCCAGACATTTCCCAGCACAGTATCGACATAAAAGTTCGCTCCCTCGAACATCGAAATTTGAGCGAGCTCATCGAGGAGCTCCCATCTTCTCTTCTGCCCGAAGCGATCTCAGAGCAATCAAAGAGCTGTGTCGAGCCTCAACGGCCATCCAGTCGACTGCTCCTGTGGGTGCAATCCAACGAAAGAAGCGAAAAAACTAGGTCGGACTGTCCATCGATAGAGCATATACATCTGTCGAGGGGAGCCCTGTCCGACGACAGCACCGTGCTGTCCATTCAAGATTCTCGTAAGGCTTGGATTACAGCAGGGGCATCCTATGGGACAACGGTATACAGTGGAAGGCGCGGGTCGATCGCGGCGATTCTCCCGGAGAACGGTTCTCTAGCTTCGATTAGTGAGAAGCTTCCGACTTATCCAGACCTTCTAGCGATCGGTCTTTGTCCACCTCGAGGCGGAGGCTCAACGAGCCGGCGAACTTTGTGGACATGGATGCCGAAGTGATAATGATGGGAAAAGTCGGGTCATTACTTCCAACCTCCACTCGATCCAAAGGTGCTCTATCAGGTTGCCGAGCAACACTCCTCGAGGCTAAGAGAGTGCCGTCGATGGACAAGATCTCCACAGGCGCTCAGACATATAGTGCCGCAAGGGGAACTATCTCTTCGAGGGGGAGGGGAAAGCGTGAGGGGGAGCTTTGGGAAATTACGATATACGGGTCTTACAATGCTAAAATTTTCTGGGATCGATCTCGAACCCTCGTCTGTCGTCGACTTCAGAACGGAACTCTCGACCGGAGAGGAGACTCATCCTTATTTTTCCCTATTCCTTACAAATGACCTGAGCATAGTTGGATTTGCGGTGATCCTTTTGAATGCTCGCTCGAAAATGTCTCTGTCCAATCTCCCCACCTTCTCCATGCGGAGCTCGTTCGGCAATGTTCCGCAGAACGGCAATCCGACCAAAGAGAAATCACGGAACATATGCACATATAAGGGTCTCGAGGTCTCGCTCTTTGTCGGAATTAAGGCAGGTTGGGAACCTTGAGACGTGCGAGGAACTTGCTCGTAATGGTTCCTTCCGATAAAATCTCCGGAGGAAGTTCGCTCTCCGCTTTCCCGATTTTACAAACTCATCCGAATGGTTCAAAGCTGTCTACAAGCCGGCTGCTAGAAGCTCCTATTTTTAGTTGTCCTTGGAAGAGGTCACGATTGTCGGCTGTGCTTCAGCGTGGCGGCCTGTCGATTCGGCCGACAAAGCTTGTCCGGAGGATGCCTACTGCCCGGATGCCATAGCAAGTATTCCCTCCGACTCGTTTCTCTGACTATCATCCTTGAAGTCCATCTCCAAGTCCAGCGTCCGAAACTTTCAGCATGGGATGGATACTGATCTCGCCCGATCACGTTGTGGTCGAAATTCGCCGACGCGAGAATCCGGGTCTAGATAGGAATTTATTCTCGAGTCGCCTCCTCAACAGTAGGAGGTGAGAAAGTACCGCACTTGGAGAGTATTATTTCGGCTTGGGTTCGGGATGACATCTCGGGCGACGAGCTCCGGATACCGAAGGACAGGTCGTCAATTCTAATGAGGAGATGGATGGAAACTTCTCTGAATGAAGGTGAAGATTCTCTCCGTCCAAGCGGAAGAATCCCTTTTGAGCCCTGTGCGGAGATCGGAGTTTTTCGGGCCATTGATCATTCAATCGTTCTGGAAACTACCGTAAACGGGGCGAACGAGAAGCTCTTCGGCACTTCGGAGCATCAGCATCTATCCAATGGATTCTGGCGACTCCCACGAGGATTCCTGAGTGTTAGCAAGGCGTTCCAGCTCACTAGTCGGTGTTGATAGAAAAACACTAGGGGGAGCTCCTGCGTCGGATAACCCCGAGGGATTCCTAAAGCACATCGAACTAAGCGGCAAGGCCACGCAGCGAATGCAAGAGTAGAATAGCGGGGGCTTTTCTTCCAAACGGACCACCGACGTGAAAGGTCATCGTGGGATAGGGGTTACTTTTGAGGGAGAGGAAAATTCCACTCGAGGAGGGTAGCGCAAGCCCTCATTTGGGCGGCACCCGGCTGGAATAAGGTACTTCGGAAGGAATTCCTACGGAACGAGGCTTCATATTAAAAGTAATTTGCTTGCTGTGTCGATGCAGCGGAGCGTTCGGCCGGGTTTCGATCGATTCCGTATTCTGTTGCTGTTCGAAGGAGCTCGTGGGAGGCTGCTGTAGTTCCCGTCGATAGTCGAAACCACGTTCGTGGGGATTTTCCATTGACAGATTCGACCGAGTTTACCGCCTGAGTTCTCGCGCACAGAGTTTCATCTCGCTGTGATTTTCACGCGAGAGCCCAATGTAAGTTTTTCTCTCTGAGCTCGATAATAATCAGCAGCATGAGTCCGCTCGCATGGCGTCTCGCTCGGTAGGGAACCTCGGATCGATTCCTCGACCCCATCGAGGTAGATTTTTGCGTTTCTATCATTTTGATCGCGGGAGCGATCGCGAACTACCGCGCGTTAGGATTCTCGAGGCTCCATCCAACCACCACAGTGGGCTGGTCTTATCGCGATCATCGTGTCCGCGAAAGGGGCACAAAGTTCTGAAGAGCGATTTCATGCAATCATTTTGGACAACCCCCGAGAGCCAGTCTCCTAGACTGACCTTGACCCTCCCACCGGAGCGTGGCACGGTCTGTGGTACAACAGTCTGTACGGACGGCTCTGCATGCGGAAAAGGGCTCAGCTTTGCTCTCTAGTCGAGCGATAAAAATGACGGTTCTCTATTCCCGGAGCTGCCGCTGTGTGTCGAGGGCTTCGCTCCTGCCGGCACAGCGAAGGAAGAAAGGATTGCTCTTGATTGTCAGTCGTCGTCCTCGTCGTCGCATCATCATGCCATCTTTCCCGCTGACACTTCCGGGAAGTTCCCGTCCGAGCGGCGAGAAGAACTCGGAGCGAGTATTCTGGGGCGACCACCCCTGCCTGCTAATTGCTCTCCTGACAATGATGGCGATGATGATCGAAAAACTGACAACTATTGCATGATTCTACTCAATGGGCGGCTCCATATTATTCGAAGGAAGCGACTGAGTCGGCAAACACCGGCTCAAAGAAACCGAGGGATGCCAGGTACTAGTGGCTGGACGATTGGCCGGAGCGTATCCGAAATTCGCCCGAAATAATGCCAGGAATCATGAATCCTGTTATTTTCCTGTATGTTTCGTGATCATGGGAGTTTCCGACTCGCAGGGTACTAATCACCATGAGAGAAATCTCTCCTGTCCTCGGAGGAGGCCATCGATGCCGATGTTTGCGAGGCCGAGAGATGAATTCCCTTCCAACCTCGACGCTCGTGACGATATCGAAATATTCAGTCTGATCCTATCGATTGCTACGCCTACGAGAAGCCAATACAATAACTCTTTAGACGAGAATGCTATTCCTCCGATGCATCTAGCGCCGCTTCTCCAAGACAAATGAACCCAGCCGAGGGTGTGACGAATGTCTCTGTATCCTGGGATACCTCGAATACTTCTCGATCCGGGTCCACGGTGAAATAGAGTATAGCATGTGAAGGTCTCCATTCATCACGCACAGCACGAATCGCGGCGGACTCCCTCCTCGGTCCCCTACCCAACAGGTCGAGGCGCGAGCCTCCGCTGCTGAGTCATTAGGGGAGCAGTCGAGTCGGAGCCGGTCTCCATTGAATCAGAAACGTCGAAAAATAAATGAATCCACAAGTCCTTCTGTCCGACCGGGCTCCCAGGCGGGGAATCCATAGCTCGCTTGAAATCTCGAAGATAATAAACTCATTGAACTCGGATTCCCCCGGATCGAAGGTTTCACAAGACGAACTCTGAATTTTTCAAAGCAAGTTCGCCCTCCCCGGTGAATCATGGTTCGCTCCCTGAAGATAAATATATCCATCGAGAAAGGATCGGGACAGCCCACCAAGTACGAAGTAGCTACCGATCAACATTGCGTGAGCCAGGTCCATCGAAAGAGAATTGCTTCGAGTCGAAGAAAGACTAGAAGAGCCACTCGCTGAGGAGAATGATAGCGGGCAAGCTTGTCACAACTTGAAAAGCTCCAGGGACCAGGGAAAAGCACCGGGACCGCAAACGGAGAAACCAATCATGATGTGTACCCGGTCCGCGAGTGTGAAAATAATTTTCTTAATCTGTCTGAGTCTCAGGAGACCCGGGCACTGGTCTGAGCATCCTCACAGGGGAAGCATCTGCAAGAGCAATCGAGCACGTACTGCAGAAAAATCTCCGGAGAGGAGAGCGCTTTTTCCGTTCCAAGAATTTCTCCCCTAAAACTCCCCGCTCCCGTCTGCCGGATGACGCGACGGTAATGAAACACGTCCGCTCCTCGCTGTCGGATCGCCAGATTTAGTGACAGCTCCCCGTGACAGAGAGGAGATGGAGTTTCCCGTCTGTCCATTCCGATAATTTAAAGACGCGAGAAGAAGGCCATTCTGGACTCCATGCATGTATCGTTCTACTATAAGGGACTCAGATCCATATGAAGGTATCTGTCAGAGCATCAAGGCCTTATGCCTTATGCCAAAAGTCTATAAGGTCCTGGCTTCCGACAATGAATTGCCACACTGTCACTCTCTACGATGGTTGAGGAAAAGGCTGGATATCATTGTATTCACTTATACAATGGAACTTATAGTCTGTGTCTCACTCAAAGGAATCACGGGTCGGTAATATGGACCAGACAGAGTCAATTTCCTTCTGTCGGAAAAATCACAGACCACCGGTCGGCTGCTGGCGGCCTGGACGTGAAGTTGGCGGCAACGTAATAACCGTCACGTCATTGCCGGGTGGAAGCCGTATAAACTTTAATCATACCTCCCTCCAACCGTACGGGATGCAAGCACGATGCTATTTTGTGGCTGGCTCTGCCATGGCTCTGCAGACTCCCACAGGTAAGGATGTCTCAGGCTCGACATGGCCTGAGTCGGAAGGTTGCCGGGAGAGCCCATGAGGTCATGAGATGACGCGAGTGATGGAGGTATTCGAGGTCGCGGTCGAAATTCTGCGAGGCCCTCGCGATCTCCGTTTACGAGCGTTGGGAGGATGACTCCACTTCCGAAGCACGGTGCCCCCAATCGGGGTTGGCTCGGACGGAGTCTTTACCAGACTAAAAGTTCCCACCTCCGTAGGTTTGGGCCGGTTTTTGGATAGACTCCGAGTCCTGGGCAGATATTCAGCGCTCATCCCATTTCTCTGTGACCAGTGGAATTCAGTATGAACTATTCAGATTCGAAGAAAATCCCACCCATGAGAAAATCAGGTCTGGTTTGGATCCGAGGCACGCTCTGGGAGAGATCTGTCGGAATTTAAGTGGGCATACGAGGGAAATGGGTTTTGTTATCTGACCGAGATTCTCACGAAAGCGCCCGACTACAGCAACGCCAGAGGACGTCTCCCACAACAGTCGGGACAGACGTCGACGATTCCATCGTTTGCTGTCTTTCCCTTCGCTCGGCAAATGCGCTATGCGAAAAACATTTGCATTTTCTCCGCACGTGTGCTCCGCGACGACCTTCGTTGGCGGCGGTGTTCTAATGAAGGATTTCGTCCGTTGCCCCGGCCAGCCTACGAGCTCAGCCGGTCTGGACCATTACCTAATTCACCGCGGTCGCGATTGGATTATTCTCTTTCTGAGTCCTGCCCGCTTTTCTCTTCGGAGAAATCCATGTCTTCCTCGTCGAAGATTCGCTCGTTTGCCCACGATCTATGCAGCATGAATGCATTTTGATGACAGGACATCGACGGATCGCTAATGACCCCCATATCGGCGAGGACCAATCTCGCAGAGTATCTCGGCGCGGCCCGGCCTGCAAACACTTCAATCAGAGGACGTTTCATAACTCAGCTTGGCGAACGGTCACCTCAAGCAGCTGGGGCTCACTCATCATGATGACGCGATTAACGAGTCGCATCCATGCACGCACTCATTCCATTCAGCTAGTACCGCGAAGTGTCTCCGATTCAGACAGCGGCTCGTCTCGTTTCCCTCGTTTCTCTATGTCTGAGTCCGTCCTGAGCCGGCCGCGAGAGATGAAGCAACTTGAGCATCATTGGGTTTTCTTGATGAGCGTCGCGCCTTCACTCTCTGAAAATCTTCTATCGATGCTGAGGCATCTACATGAGGGAATGATCCTCAAACGCGACGGAGAACCACCCTCGTGATTGAGGCAATTTTCCACTACGGCAAGAGGAACTTACGTCTTGAGCTCCATTCGCTATGCGTTGTTGGAGTTGTTCTCCGGACATGTCATCCGGCTTCATGTTCCGGAGCTGAGTCGCCTCATCCTCCGGCTCTGGCTCCGGCTCTTTTTTACCGAGACCGCCAAACATGTTGCTGGTTTATTCCGCCGTTGATGTACCACAAATTTTAAAGCTGATGACTCAGCCACGGGCTGATGCTCAACACTTGGCTCGAACGATAAGCCCGTTCAGTAAACAGACCTCCCTGGTAACTGATCCTACCCTCGGTGCAAGGGTCGGGGTTCGTTGCTCGAGAGTGATCGTCGTGATTTGGATATCACTCGTTCAGGTGAATTCGCTTGTCGCAGAAAATGCTGGAGCGACGATAAACAGTGAGACTTCGGATTTTCTCCGGTTCGTTTTATTCTTCCGCCTTCGTTTCCTTCTTAGACCTTCGCTCGTTAAACAGATGCAACCTCGATTGGGTGTAGTAGTACCGATGCTCAAGCTCGGCGGATGTTGTGGTTATGTGGAATCGTGAGTGTTCGAACCGGAGTTCGTACTCGATGAAACAGATGAATAAGTGAGACGTTTTCGTTTTCGAGTTCACTCGGAATAAATGACCTCAGAACTTCATCGACTTTGTGTTCGATACGTCCCTTCAGACGTAGAACGGAACCTTCAGGCGACGGCTCCTGTCGAATGGATGGGAGTACACCTTTCTAGCGGTGGAATTTCCCCGCGTTTGTCGTTGAAGCTCCGAGAGCTCGATTCGGTCTGGCGTCGTGGTTCGACGTCTAGCGATCGCGACTATTACAGAGCAGAATTCTCATTGAATTCCGAGGAATGCGGAGAGAGTTGATGATGATAATGATGAATCACTAGTAAGCCAGTCGCCGACGACGCTTGTCGTCGGAGACTTTTACAACAGGCTTCAAGCACCGTAATTCGTAGCGGAAAGCGAAGCGTCGCTGCCTAAAGTTTTCACATTTGAGGCCTTCGTGCCACGAGCTATCGACGCACAAGAAACAGCGGCAGCGAATCCTTCGAGCGCCCGGGAGAACACCTCGTGGATTATTTCACTGTCGATCTCGATGCCTTCGAGCACTTGACGTCAGCCAACGAGCGACGAGGCCACGGGTCATCTCGAAGGCTAGTTCGCTTGCTCGCTAGCCCGCTGGCTCGCTGAGATCCGCGGCAAGCACGTCGTTACCGACGTCGAGGGTGGGTTCTGTGTTTTGCCGCGGATCCACATTACATATACATTGCGGGGAGGGATGGAGGGAGGGTACGAGAGAGGGCAGATCGAACAGCTGGGGCTTCACAATGACGTGTCTTGACAGCATCCGACAATTATTCAAAAGAGTTTTATATCGACTGTGCCATCATTGTGAGCTGCGAGCCCTGAAGTCGTAGCTGGGCTTTGATTGCTACGGGCGAGACTCCGCTCTATCCATCGGAAGATCTCGACGGGAGGTAGGAAGGAGGAGCCTGGCGCCAATTTCGAAAGCACACTCCAAGCCCGATCCCGAGCAATTTTTTGCAACCAGAGCTCCATCGGTAGGTGTCGATCAGCTCCTGGTCATCGCGGGGGATGCTCAGAGCGAGGCCACCGTTTTGCAGCTGACGAATTCACGAGCCGAATCCGGTAGTCAGAAACGGGCTGGGAACACAGGTCACGTGTCCGTTGCTGCGGATATCTCGAGCACCTTCCGGGAACCGCGGGAAGAGTTCCTTTTCTCCCGGAACTCCATCCCCTCGTGTTATTAGGAATCATCATAACGAATATACGATGAAAAGACCGGTATTCGTCGAGGACGATGCTGCCTTCGAAGCTGATTATCCCGCGATAGATCTGAAGGCTCGATACAAGTCGCGCTACCGACATGAAAGGGGCGCTCGGCTTGGCGACAAGGGCTTACGAAATCATTGATCAACGCTCTCAGGAGCAGCGTCTTTTGACGGGAACCCCGAGTGAGAGAATCATCGGCCCAAGAACTCACCTGGAAAGAAGGAAAAACGGACTCTTTGAAGAATGATCACCCCATGATGCGAACGAGGAGCCTGAGTGGCGATAGCCGCGACAAACAGGGCCCTCCTGAATCCTTTGCGAAACTTAATTGCCAAATAACTGAATTATTTCTTCCTCATTATTAATGTTATATTCCCGGTCCACCGAGTCTGAGCCGCCAGCGATGACTTGAGTAATTATCCCTCCTCGGAGGCTCCACGCGCATGCAGAGTGAAAGAGCCCAAATCAAAGTCCCCGGCAGGTAGCGTCAGAGACACTACCGTAAATATGGACGAGGAACGTATTCTCAATTGCCCCTCGCGATCCTTAGGTTTCGATTCGTATATCATCGGAATTATCGAGGTATACATTCCCTCGCAAATCCACATTGATTCGGGTACCTGTACGGGGTAGACATGTTCAGTCAGAGCTCGATTTTGTAAAGCACGCTCTCGTGAACATTATAATTCGGTCACTCTCGCAGGTTGCGAAATTCTTCTATGAGAGAAAAATGCTGGAGCCTCTCTATTCAGTTGAATCAGAATCAGTGAACTCCTCTATCGTATCCCGCTTATTGGGCGAGATGCTTCCGCTAGAGTAAAGATATAATTTGGGAACTTAGAACGAGAGGTCTCTCAGGTTGCCGACATTGACGATAGGATGAGAGAAAATGGAGACGGAGCCGATAATCTCGGCGATCTCTGTAGGGTCACACTGACGTAAGCGGAGAGATGTACGATCCTGACCTGGCAGACCTCGAAAAAACTCTGCACGTATCATTCGTTGGGGCTCTCGATGTCGTGAAGCGCTATTCCTTGTTCTAGAGCCTACTCCGCGACGCAGCTAAGGCCAGCTCGACTCTCGAAACGCTCCCGAAGATGGTGGAGTCGAATTGATCAAAAGCTCTGAGGCAGACCCTCCTCAGAGATCTCCAGGGAGAACAGAAGTTGTGAAGTTCTGAAGAAGCCGAGCCATGAAATACATATGTGTATCGAGGAGTGTATAAGGCAGGGGTTCCGAACTACGGACCACCTGTGGACCACATTTCGCGGGAAAATCCCGTTGTGGACCACCATCAAGGAGGGGCAAACTGACGATGAGCAGGCCTGGTGGAGCTTTTCACCCTCAGTTTACGGATACTTAGTTTATTTCCAAGTCTTGTTTACAAACCCAAGACTCAATTATGACTAGTGAGAGACGCGAGCTCTCCCTCTGTTGTTCGAAATGATTGCATCGAAGTTGATTTCCATCTTACTCAACTTCAATCTCAGCGAATCGGACAACTCCAACCTGTTCCGCGCCTTAGTTTTCACAGCAGCTATAGACGAGAACCCAATTTCGCACATGCATTCTCGCTCTTGACAAGAGCTCTCGCAACGCTCTCGGAGAGGAAATTCTCCGCTCTACTCTGTGATCATCCGTGGACCACTCGAAATTTGACCATGGATCACCCGTGGTCCATGGACTACCGTTCGGGAAGCCCTGGTATAAGGGATAACGCTGACTTCCCGCTTCCCGGTCTCATAATCGACCTCAGGAAAAATGGATGCGCTTCGATTCCCCATGCATCTGATCCCTCCAAAGATCAACTAGAATATCACGATCACGTCACATCATAAGCTGATTTTTCCGAGCGAAGGCTCAGTGTTGCAGTTTCGTTTAGGTCCGAGGCCCCCTTGGGAATCCGATTCCAAGAGCCCATTTGACGGCGGTAAACAGGAATTCTTCCTAATGGCTTCAGCCTTCCTCTGATTCACTAAAAGCGACGATTAAGTTCAAAGTATCGTGTGACACACCACAGTTCCGTCTGAAGTCTCGGCGACCCTCCCGAAATTTCTCTCTCTCGCGCCAGTCGCCGCTCTATCATTTGCAGAACCAGATCTGTGACTCGCATACTGGAAGAGGTCAGGGGAGCGATGGTGCACACCTCGATGGGAAAGAGTGTAGCGGTGGAATCGGTAGACGGGACTTCTTACTTCATCCCCGGTTTTCAATCGGTTCTCGCGAGTTTAATGTTGAAATTCCGACGGTAATTGGCGAGACCTACATTGATACGACTACAAGAGTCTCGCCGCACTGACCAGTCGACCCGGTACTGGATGAATCCATTATTCATACGGTTTTTGGCACCACTACATGAGGGGTCAGAATCGCAGTTATCTTGCCAAACGTAAGCTCCACGATCTCTTGGGGAGAATGCAGGGCTGTTGCCCCGTAAATTCACCATCTATCGGGGGAAAACTCATGATAATTGGTGACGTATTCACCGAGTTATTAGATCGCTAAAGCGGACAAGATTTCGTCACAAGAAGACGAAGCTCAGGTGGGAACACCCCCGGTGCTTTAGGAGACGTTTCACGCCGGAATTCTCTAACTTCCCAGCTTGCTCAGACTCGGACATCAGTATCGGCTGTTCTCGACCCTGTCACCGCAGCTGGACCATCGTTTCATGTTCCTTCGTTTCGTGAAGCCCGGCTTTCTTGCCGCCAAGGCAGTGCCTCAGCGGAACGTTTCTGATGCGAGAGATGAGCATCCTGCTCGTTTGACAATATTTTACTCTCTTTCGGTGGAATGAGATTCTCAAGAACTTGAGCTCCCTGAGCTAGGCTTTCGGGACTCATCGCCATCGGGCGTTCAACACGTGCAGTACGACTCCGAGAGCACTCCCTCAACGAGTCTTCTCAATATAGTGGCATTCATCGATAAGTTCCTGAAGTGGCTCCCTCCTCATTAGCTGGATCTCTTCCTGGAAGCTAGACGACGGAAATGAGGCCCAGTTGTCGTCCGCTTGCTCCTGTCCCCTCAAGCAAGCTAGCAAGCAAGCAAGTATCGAAGTCGCTCAAGATTCCAACGCTAAAAGTTCCATCACGCTACAAGTCGCTTCATTGATCGGTCTCCGGACTCGAAGAAATCCCTGGAAGTCCACCCCGCCATTCGCGGACGCGTCCACGATCTAACTTTCGATAATTCAACGGAAAACGGACCCTGACTCCATACATCTCGGTGGACGAAGGAGAGTCGGAGCTCGACAGCACGGTGAACGTTGAAAAAGAAACCGGCAGATATGCACTCTGAAGGAGATGGATCGAATCGACTGTTTGTCGGAAGTCCCCACACAGTCTCGATTGTCCGGGAAAGTGGCGAAAAGAAGCGGAGTAGCTCTCGGAATTATTCCATATCACAGATCAAAGGTTGTTCCTCCTCGTCACACAAGCGCGGGAATCCCGGTATGGGAGCCAGAGCCT